TATCTGATAAATTTTATCTGTTTCGTAATTGCTATTTTAAAATCTTTTAAAAATATCATAAGGTGTATCTTTAAAATTATAAATTCGCCCTAATAAATATTGACCTTTATCGAGTATGTACTTGAGTAATTTCTTTGAGTGCACACATTCACACACATGAGCAGCCGAGATAGAGATACAAGATAAGAGAAGACGCCAGACAAAAAAAAAGCAACTACAACAACGATGCCGACGAAGACGCAGCATCGCACCTACACTGAAAGAATTTGATCTCTTAAAGCACACATATTACAATCTACATTTCATAAAAGATATGTTTATATCTTTTAGATACGTTTCCTGGTAATAAGTATCTTTGGCCTTGAATTGTAAAGATAATTATCGATTCTCTTGTAAATCATGTGCGGTTTTTGCCAGTGTATCACTGGCTCTGCCGCTACGATGCCAACAGATATCAAGCACGTCTCAATCTCAATCATTCAGGGCCGGGCTCCGGGAAAGGTTTACGTTTACGTAGCTGCCGCTGCCGCTCAATTAACAATGAAAAGTCGGTCTGGTACGTCATAATATATTTTTATCTGATTACCTGGCTGCGGTGCGCACTAAAGGTGGAACTCAAATCATTACCGATAGCCAAGAAAATTGTATTAAAAAATGATAAACTTAAATCGATTTGTTTATGTTTATGTATTTTTTTAAATTTCAAGATCATAATTAAATAAAAGATTGTAAATTTTTTAATTTTTCATAAAATTGATACAAGTTAAATATTAAGGTTGTACCTACAATGATGTATTAGAAATAAATTCTAAAAATCTGACTTGTTAAAATATTTCGATAAAATATACTTATATCTTTCCAGATTTAAAACTATCGTATAAGGAGATCCTTGGGCCGTGTCACGGGCCCACCCACAGGAAGCTGAATGGCAGACAGTGGCGCCGGCCGCCAGGGACCAAATGGGAGCCAGGTCCCAAAGATCCGACCGATCCAGCAGAATCGTGCGTTAGTCCGACCCGTCCCGACATACAGATATTGTATCTTTGTATCTGCGGCCAGGCGACTCCAAGGCATTGGCATTGTTTCTTCTGGCTGTGGTTGTTGCTTGTGGTCTATGTAATTTTTCGCGTGACTCCCATGTCAAGATTTGATCTTTAGCAGATCTCGCTGGTCTGGTGGCGTCAGTCTCCACGTCTCCAGGTCTCATCAATGCGACGCCGCCCGAGTCCCGACTTAAAAGCTTCATTAGTATGGGAATTACGCAAATAAATTGTAAAAGCCTCAACTGTGGCTTGAACTAGACCCAAAGAGCATTAGTTGGCTAAGAAAGAATTTTATAAAAATTAAAACTTTCGAATAAAGTATGATATAATCTAAATTGTTCCCTTTTCCCTTTAAAACAATTCTTTTTTTGTTAACCTTTCTTCAAAAAACATTATTTTTTTTAATTTACAATAAAAAATACAATTTTTTTGTTATTCTAAAATCATGCAAAATATTTCAAAAATAGTTCTTAATATGCGGCTTCTTTTTTAAAAATATATCAAGTGCCACGTCAATTGAGTTTTCAAATGACCACTTATCGATGACAGATTGCGCGAGTGGCAATCGAAGTGCGAGAGCGTAACAGCTGATTCGCAGCACCTGCCACTTATCGATAGGCACTCGAATCCAGATGTGAGAGAACTTTTGCGTTGTTTTGGCCAACTAATTGGGCCCTGATTCTACCTGCTTTTGCCACTCGGAGCCGGGGACTGTGACCCTGTTCGGTGGAGCCTGGCCAACGGGGTCGAATGGCGCGCAATGTGCTCGAGAGCAGCCTGCTGGGCGCCGGCTTCAGCATCATTTTTCAGGTGAGCGCGAATCTCTATCCGAATCTATTTTGTGTTTTTACCCAGTACCTCAACGTATGTACCTCTATTACTCATCATCCCGGCGACGTGTTCCTATCGCCCCGCAGATACTGTGCCGCATCCTCACCTTCGGCATCAACGCGTACATCGTGCGACATGTGGGTCGCGAGGTGCTGGGCATCATGAACGTGCGGCTGCTCCTCCTGGAGAGCACCCTGCTCTTCCTGTCCCGCGAGGCCATCAACCGGGCGGCCCTGAGCGCCAATGCCCAGCAGGGCGACCGCTGCTCCTGGGCGCAGCTGATCAACCAGATGTGGCTCACGTAAGCATCCGGGGATCGGGTTATTAGTGGGCCCACCGTGTGGTTACCTTCGAGGTGTTCCCCTTGATGTCCTGTGAAAGTTTCACCTTCCTATTATTTGCCGTTTCAAAGATATGATTGTTTTTCTGCTAACAACTGAGTTTTGTGGATACCTGGTTACATTCCGAGTGGGATATCTTCCCCATTAAGTATTTAAATTCTAAGATTCGAGGATTTAAAAAATTTATGAGGGATTCTTTGTGAAACGTATCGAGATTTTCTTCATGGTCTCTAAACGATATCTAATTTTTATGACACTACCACACCATTTAAAAACAATTTTTATAAAAGTTAAAAAAAAAATCCGTCTGACCGAAGCGAAGATATGGCGATGCTATTTTTTGTTTAATTAATTTATAATTTTAAATTACGTGTGGTAAAAAATAAATAAAAATACTCCAAAATTATTATTTTTGTCAAGCTTTCAGATAAAAATAACACCCATAATGGTTCCAGTGCAAAATATAGTCCAAACTTGAAAAAAAATATTTCATTCGCGGTTTTCTGCAAATCGGCATTTTTAATCTTAATAAAAAAAAATAGTATAACGTTCTATACAACGAAATTTCATCACTAGAATTGGTTAGAGGAGTATTAATATTTTTTAAAGCTTGCTACTCATTCTATTCCCTCACTTGTTTGCCCACTAAAATATCCCCTTCCTTGCAGGGTGCCCATCTGCGCTGTTTTGTGTGCTCCTTGCCTGTACATCTGGCTCAATTGGCTGTCGGCGGTGGACGCCATCTACGCCTCGCAGTACGAGTTCGCCTGCTATGCGGTGGCCCTGTCCTGCGTCCTGGAACTGCTGGCCGAGTCGGCGGTGTTTGTGGCCCAGGTCTTTTGCTTCGTGAAGCTAAAGATCCTGCTCAACACGCTGCACATCCTGGTGCGTTCGATCATCTTCCTGTGGATCGTCACCGGCGATCGCAGTGCGGCGATCAATGCCTTTGCCATTGCCCAGCTCTCCAGCGCTGTGACCATTGTGCTGGGCCAATATGGCTTCTTTTACTTCTACCTGAAGGGATTCAAGGATTTCGTGGCCCAGCAGGCGAGGAAAAAGCCGGTGCCGCCGAAGGCCTGGCAGGTTTCCCTGTACGAGCACATGGATGACTTCCCCTTCAAGCGGCTGAACGACTTTCTGCCCGGCGTGATGTTCAATCCGAATGGGAAGCACCTCAACCGGGAACTGCAGACGCTCACGCTGAGCTTCGTCAAGCAGGGCGTGCTGAAGCAAATCCTCACGGAGGGCGAGAAGTATGTGATGTCCGTGTCGCCGGTGCTGAGCTTCGGCGAGCAGGCCACCTACGATGTGGTCAACAATCTGGGCAGCATGGCGGCGCGCTTCATTTTCCGCCCGATCGAGGACAGCTCGTACTTCTACTTCACGCAAACGCTGTCGCGCGACATCAAGCTGGCCAAGCAGCCGCAAGAGCGCGTCCGCCAGGCGAGCAGTGTCCTAAACAATCTCCTTCTGGGCGTGAGCTCCATTGGCCTGATTGCGTTCACCTTTGGCCAGAGCTACTCGCATCCGGTGCTGCTGCTCTACGGCGGCCCAGACTTTGTGGCCGGCGGCCTGCCGCAGAGCCTGCTGCAGTGGCACTGCCTGGCCATCTATCTGCTGGCCGTGAACGGGATCAGCGAGGGCTACATGTTCGCCACGAACACCAGCCGGGATATCGACAAGTACAACTACCTGATGGCCATCTTCTCGATCAGCTTCCTGGTGCTCTCCTACATCCTGACGGGGATCTTTGGCCCGGTGGGCTTCATCTTCGCCAACTGCATCAATATGCTGAGCAGGATTCTGTACAGCACCTATTATATCAGGCATCAGTACCGACCGCTGTCGCTGGATCCGCTGCTGGGCCTCTGGCCGGGAAAACTCTTCGGGGGCACGCTCTTCCTGGCCGGCATCGTCTGTTATTGGGTGAGTATTCTCTTCAGGATTATGGTATTTATTTCCTAATTTATTCCCTCTTCCTACAGTACCAAAGTTCTGGCCTTGCCACACACCTGGGCGTGGGTGTCCTGGCTGGGCTGGCCTGCCTGCTGTCCTGGGCCCTGTCCCATCGGGATCTGGTGCGTCTGGCCTGGCGCTATGGGCGTCGCATCAAGATCGAGTAGGGGCCTTGCCGTTCGGTTGAGTTTCCTCGCCTCCCTCGCACCGAAGAACCGCCATGAAACGCACAGTTTGAGAAATTATCACATATTTATACATAGTTGACAATTGTAAATTAATTCCGAAATTAAGTTATGTACTTATTGAGTGTTTGTAGAGCCTTGATTGCTTATTTAACGTTAAGACATGCATTAAAAGACAACGATTACTGTTTACATGTGAATGTTTTAATTACAAGAAATCAATTGTTGCTAACTACAGCACAATAGCTGCTTTTGAAACATATTTCCCCATTTAATTAAACATATTTTGTTATCTTAAATTTCTGATTCTTTTTTTTCTTTGTCTTTGAAAGCATTCCAACTTTTTCAGAATTACGGAGTACAAAATCTGCAGCCTCTTATCAGAAATATTTTGGCCTTGTTTAGTTTTGAATAATTATCATCAATTTTTGCTACTTACAGCTCAATCTCCGCTTTCGAAACACAATTCCTTATTTAATAGTGTTATCTCAAAAGCTATTATTTATTTTTAGGGGCTTTTTAGAAGTAATGAAGAAGAAAATGTGCAGCTTTTTATCAGAAATATGTAGGCTTACATTGTTTCGAGAAGAAATAGCTCAATTCAGTACGTTGTTAAACTTCTCTAAGATTGGTTGTTATTAAAAATGCTGAGGCTGGCCCAATTCCTCCTGAGCCTCCTTGTCCTGGATTTGCAAGGATCATTGGGGGATACTCAGGACAATAACCGAACCGTTTGTCTACTAAACGATCCTCCTAATCAATGTGGGCAGTTCTGCCTTACCACCCTCCAACCGATGACCGATCTGATTTCCGAAATCAATGCAAAGTTGAATGGAATCCAAGGGGCACAGCAGTCTATACAGATAAAACTTGCGGCGGTGGAATCTGGACTGGAGGACCAAAGGACGCAAATTGATAGGATTCCCACGAAAGAGGACTTCGAGTCAAGACTTAATGAAACAGAAGCCCAACTTATGGAGGTAAAATCCGAAATGAAAGACCAATTTGATTTGCTGCAGATCAGGCTGGAAGACCAGAGTGAAGCTCCCAGAGAACCCAGCCTGAATGAAACAGAAAATCAACTTGTGGCTGTCAATTTCGAAGATCTTCTCAAGACTGGACTCACTGAAGTTCTAACAAAAATACAAGAGTACCAGGAAGCCGCCCAAACCAAGCTGGAAGGTCAACTGCAGACATTGGAGACCAAATTGCAGACTCTTCTAGAAAACCAGCGAGCTTATTTTCAAAAAACCGTTCTCGAAACGCTCGAGAGAGTCTCTTTAAGCATCCCGCCGAACTTTGAAAAAATCGGCCATAGGTACTTTTATATAGAAAATAGTACTAGGCTTGATTTTTATTCGGCAGAAACCAGATGTCGTCAGTTGGGAGGTTACCTGGCGGCGATCCAAAACCAAGAAGAGCTGAGTGCCCTAACAGCAAAACTGGATAAAGATACCAAATACTGGCTTGGCATTAAGGGTTCGGAATGGGAATTCGTGTCTGTTGCCTCTAAGGCCACAGCTACGTTTTTGAAGTTTGCGATTCAAGAGGGTTCAGATTATTTCGATGGGGTCTATCTATTCAATGGAGAAATGTATAAGCCTTATGATTTAGATGACCTTTATTTCATTTGCCAAGCAGATAACAAAGTATAGATAAGAAAACTTTTTATATTTATATTTTATTTCTGTGTTTTGTATAGCTAAAAACTGTAAAAAACTTTAAAAATAAAACATAAAATCATGAGTACACAGAGAAAAAAAAATACCAAAAATGGTCATCATTCGGGTATTTTTTCATATCAATTTTGGTCCCATATGTGGTCATACCAAAAGTATATTTTCGAACATACCAAATTGGTATTTTCGAACATATGAATGTGGTATTTTTCATAATAGATTGTTATGCGCACATATCAAATTTTGCTACAAAATTTTGTATTGTATTTTCTCTAACTCAGAAAAGCATTCTGCCACGAAAAAAAAAATGTGGGCATGGCTCAGAGGCCGAGGTGCTAGGTCCTGATATTATTTTGTGCTCGGGGGAACGGGGTTCAAATCCCGCTCACAACACAACACAACTTTTTTTTTTTTATTAGTAATCTTATCATATTAACTTTTTACCACAATTTTGTTCTTAATATTGTTAAGGAAATGTTAATTATGCGTCAGAGTCGGATGCGTTACCTATTGGGCCATCGCGACAAGTTACACGCGAGTATATTAGCTAAACTTGAATGTAAAATTAGCTCTGCTCAACTTGTAAGTGTAACCACAGCATATAAAGCGTTATAATACCATTGTATACCAGAAATACAACAAAAATACAACTTTACAGCCATACTATTTTTTCGAAGACTTTTCGATGCCCCATTTGATATGAAAAACATATCAATCTTTGAAGTATTCATATTAATATGTTACGGATTCATATCAACATGGGTAATTGTTATGATTTCGTATCATATTGGTATGAATTCGTATTACATTTATATGGAAAAATTGATATGTACAAATTGAGGAGACAATATCAATCTGGTATTGTTCCGTTTTTTTCTCTGTGTAATGAATTCTTTTATCGATCCGATAAAGTGTATTATTTAAATATATTATTTTAAAATTACATGATATTTGCATGTTTTTCGGTTCAAATGGATGGTAGATGGTGTAATGACTTCTTCCCATCAGTTAAACACGGTTGAAATTTTTGAGAATTATAAAACTTCGATTCCCATTAATATATAGATACTGAAAACTCGATAACTTTATCGATCCGTTTAGTATTCAATTAATTTTAAGGGTATTTTGTATACTTTCAGTATATAAATACCGAAAATCCCTGGAAGAGTGCGAAAGTTATCGATTACACTGCGACCGAGCGCGCAAGTAATTTTTGTTTTGTTTTGTTTGCACCGCTTTCCGAGGACTCACCGGCCACCATGAAGCGAACCAAGGACGAGGACAAGGAGGAGGCGCCGGCCCAACCGGCGGCGCACAACAGCAGCGCCGGCAGCAACGGCCACGAGGCCACATCTCCGGTGGCCACCAATGCGCCGGCGACGGCGACCACTTCATCCGCAGCCGTTTTGGATGCATCGCTAACCGGATCCTCCGTCCGCACGACGGGTCGCGTCAAGGTGAGTGTCGCCTGCATGCCCGCAGCAAATGCATCCCTCCAGCTCAGCATCCCACCATCTCCTGCAGAAACCCAAGCAGGTGTACGATCCCTCGGACAACTATGTGTCCCGGGCCAGCAGTAATCGCAACTCCCTCGGCGGAGCAGCCGGCTCCTTAGCCGCGGCCGCCGCCAATGCTCAGTCACCACCAGCCAGTGCGACGGCCAAAGAGGCCAGCGATTCGCAGGACTCCACACCCAGTCCGGCCGTTTCCGAGCAGCAGCAGCAGCAGGCGGCGCAGAATCGCAACTTCGACACGTGCCAGAAGTGTGCCAAAAGCGAACCCAAACGCGGTTCCGGCCACAAGAGCAACTTCCTCACCTGCAAAGGATGCATGCAGAAATGTAAGTATAGCCCAGTTTTCCAGTTTCCTCATTCCCTGCCTTATTCCCCTAGAGAAAATAAGAAGAAACCCTGCATTTTTGTCCTGTTTTAAAGTCCTGGTTAAAAGACTTGCATAAATGCACTGAGAAAAAAAGTGCTTATTAAAATCAAAGTAATAAAAAATGAAAATATCAAAAACGAAATACTATTATATAGTATTTATAGGAAAACGTTATAATGTATGAAAAAGTATAAATACCATTTAGCATTGTCATGAAAAATGTTCTATATAACCCACTTTAAAACCATTTTATGCAACCAGTAATCCCAGATAAGATCAAATGTTTGTAGCAGGTAGAAAAATAAGATAGTATACCTACATAAAGGTTCCTTGATAGTATGCAAATTATTGGGTTAATAATTTAAAAATGTGAAATCTTGACATCTCATTTTGTGATATCATAATTTCATTTATTAATAAAAACATTATTTTCGTATACTTACTTGTTCGCCAAGATAGTTAAAAGATAATGCTGCTTACATAGAGTTCTACTCAAGCAAAATGTGTGTCAATTAATATTTATTCAACTTTTAACAGTTTTCTTTTTTGACATCGGTACTTACGTCATATATGACAGAATACAAAACCAGTTGAGTAGTGATTTATAGGATTTTTTTAAAACGAAGTTTTCGGTTTTAAGGTCATAACTGGCAAAATATAACAGTTGAATAGGTATTCTTTCGTCTAAAACATAGCTGTATGTTATAAATAAATATCTAATAAATATCTCCCGCTTTCGCCTTTCTTCCAGGGCACTTTCCGTGTCTCCCAGTTCACTTCCAGAACCAAAGCATGGCCCGCAAGAAGTACAAGTGCGAAAAGTGCCGCTACTGCCAGGTGTGCAACGTGAGGGGCCGGGATCTCGCCATTTGCAGCTCCTGCGTGGAGGCCTACCATGCGGACTGCAATGATCCCACCATCAAGCAGAGCAAATCCGTCGACACAAATCCCAAGTGGAAGTGCTTCCGATGCGAGGCATCCGGTAATAGCGGTAATAACACCAGCCCGTCCAGCGAGGAGCAAGCGGGGGGCAGGAAATCGAATGCGAGCCGCGAGGAGCAGCCGGCGGTGCCCAGGAAATCCAATGCGGGCCGCAAGAAGCGCGTCCAATCCGATCCCACCGGTCAAGAGAAGCCGGCGAAGATTGAGAAGCTGGGCAAACGCAGTCCGCCACTGAAAACTGACGAGAAAAGAGAGAAGAGGGAGGAAAAGAAGGAAAGCAAGGAGGAGAAGAAGGAGGAGCTGCTGGAACAACCAGCTGAGGTCAAGGTGGAGAAAGTCGAGAAGCAGGAGGAGATTGAGCCTGTGCCGGAGAATAAGAATCAGCCGGAGCCCAATCAGGAAGCGGAACCCTCGCGCCTTTCGCCACCGCCACCTGCAGCTGCCGGCAGTCCCGTGGACATTAAGTGCCAGCCCGTTTCCACCTGGTCCGTGGAACAGGTCGTCGGCTTTGTGGCCAAGCACTATCCAAAGGAGGCGAACGTGTTCCGCTACCAGGACATCGACGGCGCCTCCCTGCTGCTGCTCACCCGCCAGGATGTGATGAACGGATTCGGCCTGAAGCTGGGACCGGCGCTGCGCGTCTTCGAGCTGGTGATGTCCCTGCAGAGTCGCTCCGATGACGTGAGACTCGCCTGGTTCGAGTAGCGTCCCCACCACCTCTTTAGCATCTAACACCACTGTAATTTTAATTTAATACTCTCGTTTGGAGCCCTCGCTCATCCGGTCGCAACCAATAAAGCTTATATTAAGTCTTCTCTTCTGCCGGATGACTTCAATTTCGTTCCAGTTTTTAAGATGTTTTTTTCTGTAATCCTACACTCTTGCAAATGCACATACTTTGTAAATGATATCTGCTAGATTTGCAAAAAATAATACGACTTTTATTTAAATACCTCTTAATGAGTGGAAAGCCAAAAGTTTCGCAGTTTATTGACGGGAATTCGTCAAAAAGGTAGATAAACCCAGGCACGTGACAATTTTGTGGGCAATGGGCCTCATTAAAAACCATTTGGGACGGTATCATAAAAAAGATACGAGCATTTAAGTATGTCGACTCAGAATTCGGCACTTAAGATAGTTTTAGTCTTAGAAATTCCGAGAATATACTTAGCATTTAAATATTTTTTTCAATAAATCAAGAAGTAATTCACTTTTTATATTGTTTCCGTTTTAACTTTATCTGCTCCCAAATTAAAAGCCTTTCATTAATTGTCTTATTTTTATTTAAACAAAATGACAATATCTTGAGAGTTGCGATGACTCAAAATGGAATCATACTTATAACGCTTGGCGAGTAATTCGACTTTCGTACAAATATTATGGGGGAGTCCAAAAATAAACAAAATGATAATAGGTGAATGCACATTCGATTAAATAGTATAGGGACGCAAGAAATCCTATTTAGTTATTATTATCCAAACATTGCTATTCTTTTTACAAAAAAAAAGGGAATTGTCCATAAATGAAAATGAAAACAAGTAATTGCAACCTAAGCTCAGGTTCAAGTTGATATTTACAAACAAATAGGCAAAGCTGTCCAGCAAATGTTTTCGGTATTCCTTAGCCTTTGCAAAGTAACAACTAAAATGATATATAAAAATGTGAATCATTTTAATATCTATACTTCAGTTTAGCTAGTGAATACCCTAAGTATATTTAAATTACATAAATAATTAAGTATTCTTATCCTTCTCGTTTCCCTTACATTATAACTATCGTTTCCCAGGGGAAAGTGCTACGAATTGTCCAGACATTAATATCCACCCTAACATATATACACACACAACGTGGGGAATATCAAGAACATTGGATGCAGTCATCGAACGGCCGCCGAATTGTGGACAAATACTGTTGACAGGTCCAGATTCCTCCAGAGCTAGACGCGTGGCAGCAGTTTCTCCTCGTCGCCGCCAGGACCCTGCATATTCGACTTGGGCGTGGATCTGGCAGGATCATAGCCATACAGAAAGATCGAGGCGATGACCAGGCCGGCTCCGAAGCTGAACTGCAGCGTGAGATTGAAGTCAAAGATGTAGATGGAGGCCACGCACGAGATGATGATGGCCAGCGAGGTGGCGAAGCCCTTCAGTATGTTGTCCGCATACTTGACCACCACGGCCACGATCAGGCCACCGCCGGCCTGCAGCAGCACCAGATACCAGACGAACACGTCGTAGCCATGGAAGAATCCCTGGTCGAAGATCCGGCTGCCGTCGTTCACGAAGCAGGTGAGCAGGCCGAAGGGAATGCTCAGCAGACTCAGCTGCACATTCCGCATCCACACGGAGATCTCGGCGCCCTTGAGGATCTTCTCGAAGTAGATGCCCGCGAATCCGGAGAGGAAACAGGCGCCCAGGGCGGCCCACAGACCCAGCATCCTGTTCTGTTCGGGTGCTCCTCCCGAGGAGGCGGCCGTGGCCGAAGCTCCAGCGGCCGGACCACTCGATGGACCCACCGTTTGGGCCAACTGCACCAGGACAATGCCCATCACCAGGAGCAGCAGAGCACCCCACTGGGTGTTGAGCAGCTTGCGGCGCAGGATCACCACCGCAAACATGGCGGTGGTGAGGATCTTCAGCTGGTACGTCACCTGGTAGGTGGCCGCATCCAGATGCGAGGCGGACACATACAGCAGGTTGTTCTGGACGATGTAGACCAGCGAGGGCACGCACACCTTCAGCGTGTCCATGGGATTGGCGATGATGGTCTTGTGCAGCGAGCGGACGAACTTCTGGGCATCCTTGCCCTCCTCGTTGAAGACCAGGAACAGGCACGTGATCAGCTTGGCAAACTCGGCCATTAGCACGGCTGCAAAGTGGGGGTGATAAAGGCAATTAGTCATCAGTCAAATTTCGGAAGGTCATAAAGCCTGTGCCTATTAAAACGGTTCAACTACCTCCATTAAAATATAGTTTTCATTTTTTTTTTTTTGATTATCAAGCGAGTCTAATGAACCGAATAGTCTTTGAAACCATTAGTAGAGATATGCAGCTTATCTATGACCCCATTTTAAAGCGACATAAAGGCAAAATAAATAATAAAAATAGTAAACATATTTTTTAAAATATGTTTTAGTATAAAGTTAATAACTACCTAATCTTTAAATTAAAAAAAAAAAACCAAAAATTTAATATAGATCTAGATCTTATAATTTGAATTTTGAATTTATATGACTGAAACTGATCACAAATCTTTTATAAACTAAAATTTTTATGAGTTTTTAATAGATTCTTTAGACCTTGGAACACACTACATTAGAAATCCTAGACTATTTATTAAACCATTCTATGTATTAATTGTAAATTTCAAAAATCCTCAAAAACTGCATATAGATCTAGATCTTATAAAGCTATTGAATTTTCATGACTGAAATTGATCACAAATCTTTCAAGACCTGGAATTTTAAATGATTTTTTAATAGATTCTTTAGACCTTGGAACATATTACATTAGAAATCCTAGACTATTTATTAAACCATTCTATGTATTAATTGTCAATTGTAAATTTTACAAAATTCCAACAATTTAATCTAGAATTAGATCTTATAAAGGCTTTTTGTATCTACATCTTAAAAAGCCTTTAAATGTGTATGACTGAAACTGATCACAAATTTTTCAAAAACAGAAATTTTTAATAAGTTTTTAATAGAGTCTTCAGATCTTGGAAAATATATCATTAGAAATCCTAGTCTATTTAATAAACCATTCTATTTTTTATTTTAAAAAATTGTAAATTAGGAATTTCTGATCTAAAACTAAGAAATTCAAAAAACTTGAGATAAAAAACCAAACAAAAACAGAAAAATAAACCCCGGGGAATTGCGCCATTAGAAGAACCAAAGAAATTTTATCTAACTTTTAGGTGCCACATGCGGAAGTCGCTGCTTATCAGCTTCCTCGGCCGTTCCACATCTACCCGAACGGCCATTCCCCGCCTGCTGCTACTCCACCTCCTCCTCCTCGATTTCTTTAATTTTTTCTGCTGATGTTGCTGCTTGCGTGGACACCCCACGTTGAGGTTTCGTGTAAGTACCGGTTTGACCTGAGTTCTGAGTTCACCCGGTGGTGAGCTGGTGAACTGGTGAACATCCCCATGACCTGCTGGACTAGCACTCACCCGTGGAGCTGAGGAAGATGTCGCCTGGCCGGGTGCGGGCGTACCGCATGCTGAGGCCCAGGATCGCATTCTGCAGGGTCAGCGTCAGCAGGCTGATGTACTTCAGGGTATTGGCGTTCACTGGGCGATGGGAGTAGGAATAGGTGACGGGGGCGGGCAGGAGCGCCATGTCAGTATCGCTGGAGCAACGCCACTCGACTAAAGGCCAAGTACTCACTGTGTATATTCATGCTGCTCCGCTTCAAACTCCCTTGTTTTACTTTGCCCCAACGCAACAATAGAAACCGAAGGCAAACAAATGCCGCAGTTTGTTTTCGTGCACAAAGTGGTGTGGACTCAGTTTCTGGCCAAGATCAGTCTGCGGCGGGCCGTTCCGTTCGGCGGTTGGACGATTGGTTGGCCAGAAGAGCTGAAACAGAAAAGAAGACGACTCCACACCGCACCGGGCGACACGTAAACAATAATCTGAGCCCCGAAGCTTCTGCCAGCGGCGACTTTTTTATCGCCCTGGCCAGGGGCGTAGCCGGGATTTACTTCAGGGGGGTCGGCAGACCAATGAACCAGTCTAGTAAATCTAATTTCATTTAAACTAATTTAAGTGAAATGTTTATTATATATTTCATTTTCTAGGGGGCATCCTTCCCCCATTCCCTATCATTCTACGCCCATGCCCATAGCTGTTTTTTGTTGCTTTTGCGGCAGAGACCGGCTATTCGATAGCCACGATGTTGGCACTGCAGCGGGAAACATCGATGCATGCAAAAAAAAGCTAGAATTGTATGCAAAAAAAAGCTAGCATTTGAAAAGTGCATTAAAACAATTTGAAACTATAAGATACTATTGTTTATTCCGCCTACCGAAGCAACCAAATATCTTGTTTTCCAGTATCAATAAAAGTTGTTTTATTTTTTCACCGATCACCGGTTAAAGTCAGCTAGAATGGTTTTTATTTACTCAGTTGCTGCTACACATACGTCACAACAAGCAGTAGGCGAAGGCCATTGAAATAATCGTAGAAAAACAAATAAAGCCAGAGAAACCGGGAATTTGTTTCCTGTTTGATGTTTCATATCTAAGAAACCTTAATATTTATATTTATAGAAACTAAACACAGTCAATTTGGGTGTTTTGGCCATTTTTATTTGTTTAGCTTTTTTCTATTTGCACAGAACAGCTGACTGTGATCGAAACTGGGCTGCTCATCACTAGCGCGTGCTTTCGCCTGCTCGTTTATCGATAACCGAGTTCCGTGTGGCGATTTCGTTAGCATATTTACAGGTAAATACAGGTAACTTGTTGGGCAATTGTGAAACTCAGAGACTCAGAGATCCAGGACAGGATGCGGGAACAGCCACTGAAGGAGGTCACCCAGCTGATCCACGCCATCAAAGTGGGGTAAGTGGCGACGCTTGGCAGGCATTCGGTTACTAATGTGGGCAATCTCCTGCAGGATGGTGGAGGGATCCTACAACATAACCAACAAGACGCTGGACATCTTCAAGTACATCATCATGAGCAAGAGCTGGCAGAACGCAGAGTAAGTAGAGTCCCGCCTGCAAGGATTCCACATTAACTGGTATTCCTTCCAGTGCCCTCATGCAGATTGTGCGCGGCCAGTGCAAAATCCTGCAGGCCGCTCTGCCCCAGGAGACAGTCACCTCGAACATCGCCCGCCGGATCCTGAAGCTGACCCGCGAGGAGTTCGACCTGCTGCACGCCAAGGTGCAGCACTTCGCCGACGACTCGCAGGCCTCGCTGTCGCTCCACAAACTGGTCACCCAGACGAGCGAGAGCAACGTGAGCGTGGACTACTCGGTGCCGCAGCAGGGACTGCGGGAGGCCCTGCTCGACCATCTGCAGGAGGTGGAGACGGAGCTGGAGACCAGCTCGGAGAACATTTGCGTGCAGGCCGAGGAGCATGTCCACTCGTCGGAGATCATTTTGACCCTGGGACACTCGCGCAGCGTCGAGAACTTCCTCAAGCGGGCGATCAAGAAGCGCCAGTTCCTCACCATCATCGTGGCCGAGTGTGCGCCGGCATGTCGGGTGAGTAGGGAGTCCTAATCAAGTGGGTTTATCCATTTTTCTTACCAAAAAAAATCATGCACTTAGAAGAGTCCTAAAATTTTTTTAAATGCACCATTTTTTTGTTTAGCCATTGTAGTTTAAAAATCCGTAATGATTTTTATTTATTTGATTTTTATAATAAAACTAAAAAAATAACTGTTATTTGTTGATTTAAAAAAAAATTAAATAATTTTAAAAAACATGCTAACCGTGTTTTATATAACCTACTAAAAATCTTAAAAAAAAGCCAACCGTGCATATTGTATAACTATATTTTTTTTAAATTTGTTTTTCCCACAAAATCGCCATAAATTAAGTTTGAGTTTTATTTTTGATCACGACGAATAACTGTTATTTGTCAACTTTAATTATAAAACTCAAAAAATAACAGTTATTCTGCGAGTTTTACTTTACGAATCCGAAAATAACCGTTAAAATGTGTTAAAATAACTATTAAAAATAACTGTTATTCTTTAAATTTTACTTTACGAATCCGAAAATAACTGTTAAAATGTGATTTTTAACATAAAACTCATAACAGTTACGGTCCCTGATATAATCATTACCTTTTTCTCATTGCAGGGTCACAATTTGGCCGCTAGCTTGGCGGGTGAGAAGAATGTGGAGATCGTCGTGATCCCGGATGCGGCCATCTTTGCCATGATGTCGCGCGTCAACAAGGTAATCATAGGGACGCACAGTGTCCTCGCGAACGGAGGACTGAGGGCCGCCTGCGGAGCCTACACGGTGGCCCTGGCCGCCAAGCACTACTCCGTGCCGGTCATCGTGCTGGCGCCCATGTACAAGCTGTCCCCGCTGCATCTGTGCGAGCAGGACGCCTTCAATATGGTCGGCTGTGCGGAGGATGTGATACCCTACGACTCGATTCCCGCCCGCGAGGCCAAGGTCTACAGTCCCATGTTCGATTATGTGCCACCGGAACTGGTCACGCTTTTCATATCCAACACGTACGTAGATATATTTTTCCTTCTTTCTATTGTAATGTTAATGACATTTCCATTTAGCGGTGGCCACGCCCCCTCCTATGTGTACCGCCTACTCACGGAACTGTATCATCCCGAAGATCTGGAGATTTGAAATCGTGTTTGTCTCGTTATTTTTACAGAAATCGACTAATAAAGGCTGACCCTCAAAATCCTTAGAAGCAATTAAAGTTCATTTACTTCGGTAGTAAACATTTATAAACTCGTTTCTAAATTCGCCTTATTTGCATTCGAAAGTAAATGCCTATTTTACAAAACAACAGTGGTTACAAATAAGTAGTTTTTTTGTTTAACAACATTGAATAGGCTTTTAGTTTTACCCAAAGGCCATAACAAACAATCTAACATTGCGGTGGATCGGTTTTCTTTTGAGGAATGCAATATTTTCCACTCTTGCGATTTTATAGTTTCTTTCAGGTAGCTCTTTTCTTTTGATTTTCCTGCTTTGTAGGATCTTGAATCTATTTTTTAATATTTTCCAGCAGCTGCGTAAAGTCCGCCAAGCTATCGGCATAGTAATCCGGCTGGGCCTCCACCGGGGCATTCAGCATGTCTTCCTTGGTCAGGCAGCCACTGAGGACGAGCAGCGACTGGAAGCCGCAGGCCTTGCCGAACTGCACGTCCTGCACCAGAGTGTCGCCAATGAAGATGCAGCGCTTGGGCTCCCGGATCTCGAACATTTCGTTAAACATCTCGCCCAGAATGGGCGAAGGTTTGCCCAGGAACGTCGCCTCCCGCTGCGTGTAACGCTTGACATGCTCCAGGAAGTCAAAGAACCCGGCCACATTGAGATTCTCCGCCAGCGGCATAATGACATCGCTGCCCCCGGCTATCAACTGGCAGTCCTCGTTCTCCTGCAGATGCCTAATGGCCTTGGCCAGCTCCACATACGAGAGATCCAGGTGGATGTCGAAGAGCACTGCTCCCACGGGCTTGTCAATCGCCAGGTGATCCACCAGCGAGGCGGCGGTGAGGTGCTCCTTGACTTGCTGGAAGGAAGTGAGGTCACTTTAGGTATTCAATTACATAAGGCAATCAATTTTGTAAGCAAGTAAAGTGCATTTTAACTATCCCATTTATGAAACCAGATATTAAAGGTGTCAATACCTTAATTAAATTGACTATATAGCCTTTACAAATAGCTTTTAAATTTACTAAAATTATAAAGCTGTTGGAAATGAGGTATTTAATTACATAAGGCAATCAATGTAAGCAAATAAAGTGCATTTTAACTATTTTTTAACTAATATTGAACTTCATGAAATCAGATATTACTTTATTTAAATTGACTATATAGCCTTTACAAATAGCTTTTAAATTTACTAAAATTATAGAGCTCTTAGAAATCAAGATATTTAAAATGCATTGCCTTTTAGTAAGCTCCTTTAAATATTTTTCTTGCCTGTAACTTATAACCAATTTTCTCTTACCAGCGACTCGAACTCGATGTTGTGCTTACGCAACGTTTCATTGGCCTCCAGGGACATCAGGGAGTAGACCCGCTGCCCCGGCTTGTTCTTCTTCAGGTACCGCACAATGGTCTTTACCGGATGGACGATGTCCTCCTCCTGGACATTCCTGGCGCCTATATGCCGAAACTTCTCCATGTAACCCTCCTCGGAACGGAAGCTGTTGTTGGACACGAACTTGATTTGCTTGCCGGCCGCCTTGAGGGCATTGACGGCCGGTCCGGTGTTGGGAATCCAGCCCACCAGGAGCCAGACGACGCCATCGCAGTCGCTGATCACCAGGTCAAAGGAATCGATGAACTGGCGCTGCTCCTCCAGGCTGAGCTTCAGAATGTGACGTGGTGGCGACATGGATATCGGCGGCTATATGGGGCTATATATGAACGGATGCTGGTTGCGCGCGCACGGGAATTCAACAGCCGACTGACTGCCTTCGCCGGCATTTAACCTTCAATGTCAACGCATTGACATTGTTCCCCCGATTCCGCGGCCACTGAAAATTGTATATGTACCTATATGTTAAGTATCTTTTATTACACGATTTAGCTAACCGAGCCGAGTGGCCCGTCCGATAAGATTTCTTATGTAAATAGATGCCTCTTCTGTGTGGGAAGCGGCATGAAAGACGCGTGCTTTGTCTATTTCCTAGTCTTATCTTCCGCTAAATAATGAAAACAATCCGAAAAATAACTCCTTAGCTTCCTAGTTAACGGGTATTTGTCAACAAGCATAAAAGTGATTTTCCAAATTTTATCTAAAAGATTATTTTATGGGATTTTCAATGTCTATTTGGAATTTATATCCAAAGCGGTATTCTACTTTTTCAAACTTTGGTTTGAACTTAACAGAACTTTCAATAGAACGTTATGTGGTTCGATATGTCACACAAAAAGGGTATCGATTTTGAAGATAATTAAGAATATGATGGCAAAATGATAAAAACAAAGATAAGTTGTCTGGTTTACCGTTAAGTAAATATTTGTGTTGGGTATAACAAGACTAGTCTTATCTAATCTTCAAAAAAAGTTGTTTGATTTAAAGGAACTAGTTCAATTTGAATATGCACTTAAATCTATCGAATTTAAAATATTTGTTATAATATAAAAGCATTTATGAACTAAACAAAAATAAATACAAACATAAAATGATGGAAGCTCAGAATTATTTTACGGTTTCGATAAAAACTAATTTAAAATTTTGAATTATTTTATGGATTTAATGAAAACGAATTTAATATGAATTTACATTTATATAAGGTAGTGGTAATGTCTTCTCTTTATCATTTAATGTTAATTCCATTTCACTAAAAATTCCATTAATTTTAAAACCCATTCGATTGAAGGCGATTGACAGGATTATTGATCGGTGCAACGGCCTTTTGTTTACATGTTGTTGCTTGTTGCTCTTTGTTGTTCTGTCCAAGCTTATAACTATTACATGCACAAACATGTACAGTAAAGAATCGAAAGGGCTAATATTTATTAACTGATAACTTTTTCAATTTAAATTTTACAAAAAAATTTTTATAAACACTAGAAAGATTACTTAACGTGTTTCTCTTTGAAAAATTGGAACAAAAAGTAAAAACTGTAACTGCTTCCTTAAATTGTAGATTTAATATTTTGATGTTTCAAATTTTGTGTATACAATAATACATACATACACACCAAAAAATTATTTGCCCTGAATTTTAGAAATTTGTTTCACTGATGATTTTTTTCTATATTTCAAGTAAATGTTATATATTTACTAAATTTGGATTAATGAGATTATAATTTTCTTTACCAGTAGATCATTCTTTTTATTTAAAGAAAAAAATCGCAAATGAAGCAAATTTCTATAATTCAGGGCGAATATTTTTTTAGCAACTGGTTCGTCTCACTGGTATCCACTGTACTGTGCCCTAGACCCTCGCCACACGTCAACACCTTGACATTGATTGCTGCGGCATTTGGCCAACGGAAATGAAGTGAGGAGAAGGGTAGCAGAATGGAATGGAAGAGCAACTAAAACAGGGGAAACCGCAAATGGCCAATAATTCAAATTCAAATGCAACATTTCAATTGTTGGTGTCCGGAAGACACTCGCTTCCGCGGCGGAGAAGGCGCAAGAACAGGCCAACGGGGCGTGCACTTGATATGTGGGTTCGGTTCTAGTTTCCACATCGTATATGTATCACACATCACAAGTCGAAATCGATAGCTGGCCCGGCAGCTAGTTTAGTTAGGCGTCTCCCTGATAAGATAGGGGAGTACGAGTGGCGAACGCTCGCGGAGAATTCCGCCAGAAGAAAAGCACATTCTGCCCCCTGAGCTTGGAGCAACTGTTCCCGGCGGTTATACAACCAACAGACCACTAAACCTCGACAAGAAAAATTCTGGAAAATGTCTGCGCTGGCCAATGGAGGACACGAGGAGGATCTGAAAATTCTGGGTCAGCTGAAGAGCATCGAGCAGATCAACGAGCAGCGCCGGATATTCCTCAACAGCACGATCAACGAGGAGGCTTCGGAGGAATCAAATGGGGCTGCAGTTCAGGAGGCGGAACTGGAGAAGGATCTGAAGGAGTTGGAGGAACTGGAGCCGAAGAAGGTAGCCGAGGATCAGAAGAAAGTTGCAGAGGCGAGCCCGAAAAAGGAGCAGGAGCCGGAGGTTCCCGAAAAAACGGAGCAGCCCAAGGTTCAGCCTCCAAACACGCTCAGCCTGAATGTGAAATACGCCACCCTACCAAGTCCCAATGTGGTCACCCTGCGATCCCCACTGTCGCCGCCACCCAAGCCACCCATGTTGGGTCGCACCAGGAGCATAGGTGCCGGCGATGGCAAGAGTCCCGTGAGCAACGGCAACGGCAACGGAACTCTCTCGCCGGACAACACCCTGATCCGCCAGAGCTTTCCCGAGGGCGTGCTTACCGGGAACAGCAAAAACCAAGCCAAGTCGCCAGTGAGTCCAACTCCCACTCCAGTTGGGAGTGAGGAACCACCGGCCACCGTCTCCGCCCGCCACTACGAGGGACTGATCGAGGAGCTGAGGTGTCCCGGCTGCGCCGGCGCCATGAAGGCACCCATCCTCCTCTGCAAGAGCGGGCACAGTGTCTGCGAGCAGTGCACCCGCATTCTGCTCATGTGCCCACTGTGCAAGGTAAAAATTGACGTCAGCTCAGCTCCAAGTTTGGTTATCAATATCAATATCATAGCCCCATCCATATTTCTCTTATCTAGTGACGTGCAAATATAGGTAGAAACTGGTGTAGAAGTTAGACGCAGGACAGAGTGATCTCCAGTGGCGATTACTTTTATTACCTTACCGAGGGTGTTCTAATCAATTCTCAAGAGGACCCACTCACTATCTGCACTATAAACTAGTATAAATATAGCTCGTCCGAATGTCACTACTTTCCATAGTATCTGGGTTTTTGCAATCGCAATGCAGATATAACATTCTTGTATAAGATATTTATTGCTTATTATTAATCTATTAACTATAATAGACTAGGTAGATATATTTAAATATCATATTTTATTTAGTTTATTTTATTACGGAATCTTAAACTTTCTATAATATATATATTTGTTTGCTAACCAACTCGCTAAGTATACTATCGCTAGAGGCAGATAAAGTCAAAACAGCTTAGACTTGAGTAATGTTTCTATATAAGTTCTCCAAGAACTTTTATCACAGTCAAATTTCTGAAATAAGTACCGAGTACAGTTATTGATCTTGATATTATGATATTAATATATTATGATATTATTAATATTATTAATGTAGAAAGCATTTCTATATGCTTTGATATTATGATATGATATTATTAATGAAGAACATACATTACAGCATATAGAAAATTTTGATATTATGATATGATATTATTAATGTAGAACATACATTACAGCATCTAGAAAATTTTGATAGTATGATATAATATTATAAATTTAAAACATACGTTACAGCATATAGAACATTTTTATAGTATGATATGATATTATTAATGTAGAACATACGTTACAGCATATAGAAAATTTTGATATTATGATATGATATTATTAATGTAGAACATACGTTACAGCATATAGAAAATTTTAATATTATGATATGATATTACTAATGTAGAACATATATTACAGCATATAGAAAATGTCGATATTATGATATGATATTATTAATGGAGAACATACATTACAGCATATAGAAAATTTTAATATTATGATATGATATTACTAAGGTAGAACATATATTACAGCATATAGAAAATTTTGATATTATGATATAATATTATTAATGTAAAACATACGTTACAGCATATAGAAAATTTTGATAGTATGATATGGTATTATATGTAGAACATGCATCTATGAGTCGCCTTTAGTTTTAATAATAGTTAATACCTTAATAACGACAAAATATCCCCTAGGAACCCTTCACCAACTCCCGATCCCTGACCGTGGAGGCTCTCTGTGCCAAGGCGCACTTCCGGTGCGGACACGCCTCCGGCGGCTGCCAGGTGCGGATGCCGGTGGTCCTGCTGCCCTGGCACGAACAGCAGTGCATGTACAAGCCGATGAAGTGCTTCATGGGCCGCGTGTGGGGCGACTGCCGCTGGCAGGGACGCGAGGTGCAGTGGAAGGAGCACCTGGAGGAGAACCACGGCGACCGACTCTTCCGCTCGAGCAGCGCGGACCTGGAGTGGAACCTGGCCGCGCGGCGGAAACCGCTGACCGGCTACTACGTCTTCCAGGCCCACGACGAGATGTTCAACTTCTACGAGATCCACGACAAGCAGCGCATCCTCTTCACCATGACCTGCACCTCCAATCGGCGGGACAGCAAGTACAACTACGCCTACGAGGTGACCGTGCTCCAGCCGGACAACGAGGCGCTCTCCATGACCCAGAAGTTCCCCGTGCACAGCGAGTACGACAAGGACATCCTGATGGAGGGCACCTGTGTCAGCATTCCGCTGGCGGAGCTCAATCGCTTCCTGGACCAAGATAGGGTGAGTTCTAAATGAGTATGGGGGTTAAGTATTCCTTATTAAAACATACATAGAAATGAAATATTACAACCGCATTGGGGAATAAACCCCATTTTTTCTTTGACCACTTTTCAAAGTTTTTTTGTTACCGGTTTTGAACCAGTATGTTTTAACTACAGTACTTTGTTTAAATTTTTAACTTTACTTTAAAGAACACTACTAAACTCGTCCAAAACAAAAAACTTCATATGTAACAAAATTTCTTGACTTTGTTTTTGTTTTGACCGACTTTTTGTTAAAATCCTTTTTTTTTTAATTTTATTTTTATGTAGGTAATAAAAACGAAAAAAAACTTAAAAAGTAATTATTTATTTTGGATCTTTTTGAAGACCGATTTCTTGTCCTCTCATAAACCTTTTACCTTTTTCTGTAGGGTTATTCTATTTTTGACAAATCCACCCAAAATGCTTTCCCAAGTCAGTAAAATAAATTGCACCTATAAGTGCCAGATAAGGTTCGATAATTTATTCCAGCTAAAAAAAGATAAGGAAATTCGGGGAACACTGGTCTTGAACACCACTCTCAGGGAACTAACAAACTAGCTTTATGAAATAAAAAAAACCTATCTTAAAATTTACTTTGAGAATTTTAAAACATTTATGTATAATTAAACTAAGAAATTCAAGTTCAAAAAAATTCAAAAACGCAAAAAAGTTTAAAGCAACGACTAACGATCCCAAAAATGTAATTTAATTTAAACCAATGTTTTTTTTTATACAAATTTATGGGTATCTTTTTATTGTTAGTTAAGATTTATTTAGGAAGTATCCGCTAAAAGACCGGTATATGATTGTCTTGCGTTCGGAAGGAATTTTTAATTTGCTATAAATCTCTTAGCAATTAGATGGTAAAATATTTGCTAGAAACGGGTTTCTTTTGAGAATTTTCATTTCCAACTATTCCAACTTTAAATTCACTAATTTCCCCTGTCATTCCAGGTCCTCCACTACCGCGTGAGCGTGCTGGCGGTCAAGTCGCCGCGACGAGCGAAACCTCCTCGCCAGAGTCTTCCCCCCGTGGACCTCGAGCAGACCTCGAATGGAGGAGTCAACGGAAAGAGCGTGCCCACCAGCATGATCATTACGCGCACCTACAAGGAGGCCATCGGCGAGGTGGCTGCCGCTGCCGACAACTCCAAGGCGGAGGTGGCCACTCCGGACTCGGAGGAGGATGCGGTGGCCGCTGGCAGTGGTGGTAGCGATGGAACCGGTGGCCTGGAGCTCGAGCGCAAGTGGGGCACACCGCAGCTGCACTTCAATCGGAAATATCTGCGGAACACTCTGAACGACTCCACGCCTCTGGAGGATGAACTGCGTCCGCTGGCTGCGGATCTGCGCAACGGACATGGCGACGACAAGCTCTCGCAGTGCAGCAATAGCACGAGCTACACGAAAAAGGTCTCCGATTCGCTGCGAAGGAGTTTCCGGGCCCTCAAGGCGGATATCGTGGAGATGCGGCCGTTCAAGAAGCCAGTCAAGGCAGGATCCTCCTCTCCGGTCCAGGCCAACGGCAACTAGTGATTCCATGTGCGCTTTTCCTTTTTTTTGTTTTGTGTCGTTAAAATACATAATTTTTAACACTTCAGTTGAAAGCATGTAAATATAGCAAATTATTTAAATCTATTGAAAGATGTAACAAATTCATAACGAAAATATATTAAAATATATCTATATAATTATACCCGTTACTCGTACAGTAAAAGGGTACATAGTATTCGTGCAAAAGTATGTAACAGGGAAAAGGAATCGTTTCCGACCCTATAAAGTATGATCAGGGTCACTAGCCGAGTCGATATAGCCATGTCCGTCTGTCTGTTCGTCCGTATGAACGCTGAGATCTCGGAAACTACCAAAGCTGGAAGGTTAAGATTTTCCACACATATTCTTGGGCTTCCTACGCACCGCAAGTTTATTTCAGCCGAGCGCCACGCCCCCTCTAACGCCCACAATCGCCCACTAACGATTTTAAAATGTGTCTGGCGCCCAAACCTTTAAAGATTTCTGAGAAGTATAAATGCAATTTTGTTGAGTATACTACATATCGAAATGTAGAAGACATTTTTTTAAACGGACAATTCATTAAAAAGATATACGCAATCAAAAAAAGTTTATGTATCCATCTCCCTCGCTCTCCCCTTAGCAGAGTATTATGGATTTATTTATTTTTTTGTTATCTGTTCAAAACAGTATGTATTTTTGTTGTAGGATTTTGGCCAAGTTACAACAAAAAAAACCAAAAGAAAAAATTCAAATTTTTGTCAAAAACTAAAATCCCGAATTTCGCTAAAACAAAGCAAATACTGGTTCAAAGTATGGATTGTCATACCTTTCTGAACTCGTTATTAAAAATCATGGGGTACCCCCTTGTAAAAAAATTAAAAATTGGCGAAAATTTTATTTATCCAAAATCACACGGACAGTTTTATGTATTTATTGCAAATTCTGTTATCTGTTCAAAACAGTATGTATTTTTGGTGTAGGACCATTTGTGGCCAAGTTACAGCAAAAAAACCAAAAGAAATAATCCAATTTTTGTCAAAAACTGAAATTCCGAATTTAAAAAAATTATACCCCCTTATAAAAAAATTAAAAATTGGCGAAAATTTTATTTTTTCTAAAATCACACGGAAAGTTTTATGTATTTATTCAAAACAGTATGTATTTTTGGTGTAGGACCATTTTTGGCCAAGTTACAGCAAAAAAACCAAAAGAAAAAATTCCAATTTTTGTCAAAAACTGAAATTCCGAATTTAAAAAAAAATAACAAACCCGTTTTTTCGCTAAAACAAAGCAGTTTTTTCGCTAAAACAAAGCAAATACAAAGCAGTTTTTTCGCTAAAACAAAGCAAATACTTTTAAAAAAATTATAAATTGGCGAAAATTTTATTTTTCCAAAATCACACGGAAAGTTTTATGTATTTATTCAAAACAGTATGTATTTTTGGTGTAGGACCATTTTTGGCCAAGTTACAGCAAAAAAACCAAAAGAAAAAATTCCAATTTTTGTCAAAAACTGAAATTCCGAATTTAAAAAAAAACAAGAAAGGAAGCTAGCTTCGGCCAGCCGAAGCTTATATACCCTTGCAGATTATTCCTATTAATTAACAAATCGCAAAAATGTTCGATTTTCTAATATTTTACATTAATTTTCCGATCGTTCCTATGGCAGCTATATGATATAGTCGTCCGATTTTGATCAAATTAAAATTGAAATTCTGAAATATTTAAAAAGAGTCATATCCTAGAGTAGAAGATAATACAATAAAAACCAAAGAAGCTAGAATTTATTTCCTATTACTTTTCCATTAATTTTCCGATCGTTCCTATGGCAGCTATATGATATAGTAGTCCGATTTTTTACATAATTAATTCGAAATTCAGAAATTATTAAAAAATAACATCCCCAAAAGTAGAAGGTAATATTTCAAAAAACACCGAAGCTAGAATTTTTTAAAGTTTTTTTTTTCGATCCTTCCTATGGGAGCTATAAGATATAGTTGTCCGATCCGGTCGGTTCCGACATATATACTACCTGCAATAGAAAGATGACTTTTGCGAAAGTTTCGTCCCGATAGCTCAAAAACTGAGAGACTAGTTTGCGTAGAAACAGACGGACAGACGGACATGGCTAGATCGACTCGTCTAGTGATGCTGATCAAGAATATATATACTTTATTTCGGAGAAGTATACAAGTAATTTTGATGCGTTTATTTATACCTTCCGAAACTTTTCAAATCGGACCATTCGTTAAAAAGTTATACCCGACCAAAGATCAAAGTAAAATGAAAGAAATTCAAACAAAATTGGGGGTACAACTTTTTTTCAGCTAATTGTAAGAGGTTTATTCAACTGTTTGTCAAATTCTTAGCAAAAAAAAAAATGGAAACTATCCTATGCCAAGTTACCAATAAAACGCTTGAGGTATTGGTTTGTATGACGACTCACTTTATCTAGGACTTAGACTACACAATTTACAGGACTGCCGGCGGGTGCTACAGCAAGCCCTGCATCTCGTTCATGAACTGCAGATAGGCGTCGTCCTTGGTGGGCGGCTTGCTGTGCGACTCCGAGGGGGCGTGGTGGCCATCGGTGACCGCATGCCTGGGCCTCGCCGTCCGGCGCTGATCCTCGCGCTTCACCCGCAACGTGGACGGCACAAAGCGCGTGACATCGGCACTCAGATTCCTGGCAAAGCAAGGTAAAAAAAGGTCAGCATGGAGCACTTTACATAAATATTCATATTAAAAACCCACCTGATTTGTGGTTTGGCTGTAATGGTGGTCACTCCCTTGGCGGACTCCTTGGGCGGACCGCCGCCGCCGCCTCCCTGTTTGTTGTGGTGGGCGAGGCGAGGCGGCAGGCCGGGCGGCGGTCCCGGCGGCATCCTGATGCCCATGCGCGGCATGGGTCCCAGGCCATGCGGTGGCCTGGCTCCGGGCGGCGGTCCAGGCGGCATGCGAATGCCGAAACCGGAGCCGGCGTGCGGTGGTCGCATGGGCGGCGGACGGTACATGATGCCCGGCGGCCCGAGATTGTGAATGGGCGGTAGTTGCGGCAGTTGCGGTGGCGCTGGCACCGACGACGCCGGTGGCAAGGGTATTGTGGGCAGTGTCGGCGCCGTCGGAGGAGCCGGTGTCGGTTGCGCTGCGGATTTAGCTTGTGCCGCCTTGGTCGGCGCTTCGGCCATCTCTTCGTCTTCATCCTCATCCGGATCGTCGTCGTCGTCGCTGTCGCTGCTGCTGGCGGATTTCCTGTCCGAGCTGGAGCCTCGTTCCAGTCGCTTCTCTGAGTCCTCGTCCTCGTCGTCCTCCTCCTCGTCCCGCTGTTTCTCCGCCTCGTCCTCCTTGGCCGCCAGCTTGCGGTGCTTGCGCTTGTGTACATGCTCCATTTCCTTCATGAAGTCGTCGATGTTTTGGTTATTCGGTTCGCTGGCCTCCTTGTCCTTGCTCTTCTTCAGCGCCTCCTGCTCCTCCTCGGCCTCGCCGTCGTAGTCCGTATTGCCCTCGGCATCGGAATCGAGCTCGGACAGGGCAAACAGATCGGGCGGCGGTCCAGGGGGCACTCCCAGCCAATCCTTCTCCTCGTCCTCCTTGGACTTCTCTGCCTGCGCCTCGCCGGCGGCAGAGTCGCTGTTCTTGGCCACGCCTGGCGGAGCACCGGGTGCGTAGGGCGGCAGGGCCATGGTCATGGGCGGCGGAGGAAGGCGGATGCCCACGGCGGCACCGAATCCCGGGACGACCGGACCGCCAGCGGGGCCGGCAGAACCGCCGCCGCCGGGAAGCGACGCCGACACGGGTGCGGGCAGGGGAATCTCATCGATCTGGACGCTCTGGGCGTGCTTGACGCTCTCGTAGTACTGCTGCTTCTTCAGGCGCTTCTTCTCGTACTCCACCTCCTTGCGCTTGAGGTCCGCCCAGTGCTCGGGCTCGTCATTGTGCTGGAAGATAAGTAAATAAAAGGTTGAGGGCTTTGGTTCAGCCTGGCCAAGCCAATCTTACATAGAGTCGCATCACGCGGTCGAAAGTCTCCTTCAGCTTTTTCCGCTTGTCGCGCAGCACCTTCTCGTTCAGCGGCGATGGCTGCAGCACGTTGTACTCTGGAAAAGGGGAGGAACTGCATTAGAGGCTGAAGGGGATCAGTGCGTCCGGTTACCCACCCATCTCGTCGATCTTCTCCATCTCCTCGAGTATCTGTGAGGGATCCTTGTTCTTCAGGACCGCCGCCCGCACCATTTGGCGCTGCCTCTTGTTCTTCTTTAGCTCCTTCTTGCGCGCCTCCTTGCCTGGAAGAGAAGGGAGGGAAGGTCCCCAGGTGGGTTCAAGTGTTTTAAGTTGGGCTAATAGTAGTACTTACGCGCCTGGTCCGTGGGATTCATGTACTTGCCACTCTTGGTGGTGTTGATGGAGCGGCGCCCCATCTTCCCGGCGATTTATGCTGGCTGCGACTAGACGAAATATTAAACCTAAGCGGCGGCCCTTCAATACGCTTCTCCGGTAGTTTCCTCCTGTCCTGCGTTGGGGTTTTCTTTTAAAACAATGCTTTTATTTATTTTTTGAGATATCCTATCGCAGAACGATAGGCCCGATAGAACGCCTGCTGATATCGATTTCAGACAATTCGATAGGCCAATGTTCAAATAAACACTAGCCTAAAATCTGACGGGAAGTAGCTAAATCGATTGAGGAACCAAATTTAAATTAAGCTAATAATAGAATTTATTTCAAAAATATTCTATTTATTTTCACGTACTCTTCTCTATATAGAAACACCAGTAATCAACGCGGTCATTAAAAGTTGAATTGATGAATTGTTGTAAATTCACCGAACAGTTTTATCAATTAAATATTTCTCAGTTTGTTTGGAACAGCTGGCAGCCAGCTGATTAAAACTAACCGATTCATAAGTCGTATAGATTTCTGTTGTTATTAATTTCACTTTTTCACCCTTGTAAAGAGAATTATAATTTCAATCAGAAGTCAACATAATAGGGGGTCAAAATGGTAATATGCTTGCTGGTGTTAATAAACTTCAACTGGCCGAAAATATCATGATTCCTTGTTAAAAATGTAAAATAAACCTTTATTTGGTTTTCCTGTCATCACACGTCTTTCATTTCACGCAAATAAATATTTCACGTTTATATTTTCTATTATTAAAAAAGTTGAGCTGGAAACCGATACGAAACATAGCCTCCAGACGTTTCTATTATATTTTCTATGACCATATAAGTTTTTACTTTATTTAAATTAAATAAAAAATTAATTCAAAACAGTTTAACTTTTGCGCCAAAAAATCTCTAAGAAACCAGAGCCACAGGGTGTTGTTGCAGTGCTATCGGTAAGTCGGTTTGCTATCGGTGAATCTGTTTGCTATCGACATTTTTATGAAGCGAAGCCGCAAAATAAATCGCGAATACGAATTGGCGAATTCGAGATGTCCGCCCAACCGTCCGGCAATCCGGACAACAGTCTGGCCGACATGTTCATGGACTGCAACCTGGTGGACGAGAATGAGGATCCGGAAGGCTATGGCCCGGCTGTCTGCCAAGTCAATACAACCGACTACCAGTCCCAACTGGTTCATTTCATGTCACCGTGCAAGGTGCCCCAAAACCAAATCCAAACCGAAAGCGAAACCCAAACCCAGACGGAGTCCAACGACAGTGTATCACTTGTGGACGCCGACATCAGCATCAGCAACAGCGGCAGCAGCTACAGCGTTATTTCCGTGTCCTCTGGGTTGACCAATGAGTCGGTGGTCAGCTGCCTGCATTCGTCGCAGTACAACTCACCCGACGAGGACGTCACCATCGAGGAGACCACCGACAGCGAGCTTGGCCTGGATTTGGACACCCAGATTGCCGTCGGCACCGACATGGACACGCCGAAGCTCTCGCTGAAGCGCCATTCCCCGGATCCCGGGGACCACGAGCTGGAGATCAAAAAATGTGAGTGGCTAGCCGGGAACGCAACTTTCATCCGTATGTCCATCAAACTTAGCTACGCCTAAGATTCTAAGCTAGTAAAATCCAAGAGGATTGGCACTATATATTAAGAGCTCCTTAAATCATATTGAAAGGGTAATCCATTTGGGTCCTATTGTACTTCTAAGGGACCTAAATGGGTTCCCCTTTATAGTCTTCCCTAATTAAGTAAGTCACTTTCCAGCTGCCTTGGGTCAGCGAAGCCCCTTGGACAATGAGGACAGTCGTCTGGAGACGAAGAATGCACCGCATGATGATGATGTTCCTGGTGACTACTTAGTATCTCTATGCCTAAAACATTTGCTTTAAAAAATAGTACATGTAGTTTGGGGATGCATTTCCTATTAGCCAGTAGATTGCTGTTTTTAAGGACCCCGCGTGATATTGTTAAAATAATTAAGTAATTCCTAGGTCCTAGTACTAAAATCGTCGGGGAAGCCGCCAAAATGAGGAAGAGAAGGGCACCGGATCATGAGGACGATGATCTGGAGAGTAAGAAACGTGAGTTTAAGATTTGGAAACGATACAGGAAAATTACGTCTATGGAAACATTGTTGTTAAAACTTAGAAAGAATATTTCTTTATAGAGGAAATTATCTTTGAACTTTAACTGCTTATTTTAATTTGTTAAAAGTTATAGATTCTTGAGATTCCTTTTAAAAAATTCGTTAAATAAGCTCTAATTTTTAACAAATTAAAATCAGAAAGTAAGTAATTATATTACAAGTAGAAATCGATTAAGAGAACAACAAGGAATCTTTCTAAGAAAGTATTAAATAAGATGTAACTTTTAACAAATTAAAATCAGACAGTAAGTATTAATATTACTAGTTGCAATCGATTGAGAAAACAACAAGGAATCTTTCTAAGAAAGTATTAAAGAATAAGATAAAACCTACAAATAATATATTTAATAATAGTCTTAGCAATCCTAAATAAATTATGACAATCTCTACCCTTAAAAGTTAGAAATACAAATGTCTTGTCATCTAAAATAGTTCCACATATAATAAAAATCGAATCTCCTACACTTTATGTGTTTTTCATGAAACTAAACGGTTTACATTGTTATCACGCAGTTCACCGAAACCTGGATGAGATGGCCAGCACCTCGAATCGCTCGGTGGTGACGCGCAGCGGTCGAGCGGTGATCGCTCGCATGAACCAGGAGTTCGACTACTCGTCCAAGGACGACGGCGAGGGGGAGTCCGACGATCCGGAGTTCCTGGAGACCGAAGACGAGGATTACGAGCAGGCCCTGGGCTTCGTGCAGCCCAAGTGGCCGCCGGCACGCAAGCGACGCAGTCTGGGCAACAGCAGCAGCAGTGCCTGCAGCACCGATGGCAGCCACTCCTCGCCGGAGGCAGTGCCTCCGCTGGTCTACCTCGAATTGGGCGGCCCCATCGCCGTTGTTCAGTACGAGCCGCAGTCGAATGTCGTCCTAGAGGAGGATGGGGAGCTCAAGACGAAGGTGCACAAGTTTCTGGGCCTCATGGCGCCGCGTCGCAAGCTCTACAATCCGTCGAACTACTGCGATCTGGAGAAGGAGCAGGAGCAGGAGCAGTATGAGTCGACTCTATCGCTCAGTCGTCTGTTGAATGCAAGCCCAGTCACGCCCACTAAGCCAAAGCCCAGTCCGTCGTCCAAGCTTCTTTCCCAGACGCCCTCAACGCCCACGGCATCCTGGTCCAGCTTGAATCTATCGCATCTACGCCCGCCCACGCTGGAGGAGCGCCAGGCGAAGATGTACGACGACCTGGTGCTGCAGGCCAATGCCAATTCGTTCGAGGAGCAGACGCCCGATGTTCTCAAGGAGCCAATCGATCTGAGCGAGCTGCCGAGCTCGAAGCAAGTGGCCGCCATTTGCCGGCGGCACAAGAGGAGCATCGCCTGCCTGGAGCAGCATCCGCTCTTCTACAGATTCGTCGAGTCGCTGAGCCGTGAGTTTCGGGATCTACAAATTCAATTAGAGATAATAAACCTGTGATTCTTTGCAGCCTCAACATCGATCAACATGTGCCATCCGCTGGCGCTGACCTACCGCGAGAGCAGCTTCGACAGCTGCAAGGTGGCGCTGGCCAAGATGCTCTTCAATATCTTCAATCACGCCATCTTCCACTGCGGCCTCGTGGCGCCCATCGTCTGGCGTCGCGGCATGAGCACGCCCTGCAAGAGCGAACTGGATGTGGCGGCCAACGGGAAGCGCACCGCCCGCCTTCTCCTGTGGGAGAACATCAGCCAGCCGGGGATGCTCATCAAGCCGCTGCTGCACGAGATGTGCCATGTGGCGGCCTTCGTTTTCAACCGGGAGACGGGACATGGCGAGAATTGCAGCCGGTGGTGAGGATCTGAGGGGTTATTTCATATCATACAATCATTAGAGCGTGAATCATTCAATTCTTGTTTTATCATAGCATGCCATGAAATTTCTGATTCAATTCTATGTGAAAAATTCTCAGGGACCGTAAATAATCGTTATTTGAGACTTTTACTTTAAAAGACCTACTGAGATTTGTACAAGTTTTGATTAACAATTTAACTGTTTTTTTTTCACTTTATAGACATGAACAAATAATAGTTAATTTGCTCTCCAGATTTGTTGATATGCATGTACTTTGTGGACAAGAGTAAAAAGAACGTTTTTTTTGACGTTTAAAACAAAATATCACAGTAGTCTTTTTGAAATAAAAAACTCAAATAACGATTATTTACGGTCCCTGAATAATCTGAATGTTTTTCTAATTCATTTCGAATTGAATGAATGAATGAATAATGTTTATGAATTTTTTGAATTTGCCAGATTTTGTTAGCTTTCTTTTACGAACAAGAAGTGAAACATTTTTAACAAATCAATGTTAACTGCATAGTAAATAAAATGCAGGCAGATTTTACCACAAAATTATGGCCCTTCTAAAGAAATTGTCCTTTATATTATTTAGGAAACCATGACATAAATTTCTACTAAACTCGAAATTTAAAATCATTCAATTCTATTAAACTACAAATTCTAATTAATATATTAATGTAAAACAAAAAATTCAAATTAATTCATTGAATGCATTCATTCAGGGCTCAATCAACATAGTAACTAATCCACTCACCATCTCTGTTTCCCAAGGGTCTACCAGGCGAAGAGCAGGATGCCCGAGCTGCCGGCGATCGAGAGCTGCGATGCCACCTTCAAGTACACCTGCACCATGTGCGCCCGCTGCTCCTACGGCAGGATCGACTTCGAGAAGGACCGCCTGCGCTGCCACTACTGCCAGTTCGAGGTGGGCGTGAAGCCATTCCGCAAGAGCGACATCAACAACGGCACCCGTCCGGATCCCACGATAACCCCCTTCAAGTCCTTCGTGAGGGAGAAGTACTTGGAGCTGGGCGAGGAGGGAGGCGACTCGCACAGCTCTAGGATGACACTACTTAACGAGGAGTTTAGCAAGATGAACGCTCCAAGCGGTTAAAGTTAGCTTTGTTTAGCGTTTAGAATTAGTTTATATTTTTTTGATGTTAACCACTAATTCACAAACTATTTAATGGCGAATGAATACTAACTAAGGTCCCCATACGAATGCAGGCGGCTATGTGAAATAAACTGTGACTTATTTAATAACAAATGGTGTGTTTTAAACGGGGTTCGGAAATTGACAGGCTCGCAAATTAAGAACGTGAAAAATTGTATTTTACAGTGTGAGTAAAATTGTAAAAATGTGTGGTTTTTACACATTGTGTTATTAACACGACCTGTTTTTTACATTACAATTACATTTCACTGGCATTAACGAGTCGAATGGAAAACGAAAAACGATTAATTTTTTTTTGGTATTAAGTTACTCTTAACCTCGAGCAGCTAAGAGATTTATTTGGCCTCTTCGTCTAAAAACGGGTTAACGCCATCTTTGTTATCTTATATGTTAGTTTTAACTATTTCAAAGCATATATGGATTTTTATACTCTAGAAAACCGTGCATTTTTCAGTTCAACATATAATTCTGACACTTTAATGTCAAAAACTCATTGTGTTAAAAACACGCTGTGTAAAAAACACGTTGTGTAAAAAACGCGTCTTGTAAATAACACAAATGTTTCTAACATATGTAGGATATAATTTTTTACACACAAGATAATAACACAAGTTTCTTACAGAGTGTGTTATTTTCCGAACCCTGGTTGAAACGAAGGATACAGCCAAAGTAAAGTCCCCAGAGACTTGGAAAATAAACTAAGTATAAATACGTTTATTTTGTAAGCTTCTTTCGCCTGGTCTAACCCATCATTCCCTTGCTGCGCTTGAAGGCCGCTCCCGCCTTGCGATTGTGGTTGGCACGCGACGATTTGTGGGCCTCCTTCTGGCCGCGGTTGCGTTGCGTTTGCTGCGACTGGCCCTGCCCCTTGGGAGCTCCCACCACAGAGGGATTGGAATGTTGTCCAGCTCCGGAACTACCTCCACCACCTCCTCCTCCTCCTCCTCCGCTTCTCTGGCCGTACTTGGCCATCTGACGCTGCTGGTAGCGAGCGCGAATCACCTCGGGATTCTCGCAAAAGTCCCTGTTGTTGCGCTTCGCCGGTTCCGTGTCTGAACCGCTGCCGGAGCTCTCCTCGTCGTCCTCCACCTGATCCTGCGCCTCGTAGGCGGAATTCGAGGCGGCGCCCTGGAGTCTGGCGCGCAGCAAACTGACTGGCGGCGCCTGTCCCTCGTTCAACGCCTCGTAGCTGTCGTCGTACTCATCGTCATACTCGCCGCTCTCCAGCGGCGTCTCCTCCACCATGGCGTACTGCTGGTAGCGCTCCTTTAGCTTCTCCAAATCCCTCTTATCATCCAGCAGCTGCTCCGCATTGCGCGGCGCTCCGGGCAAACCCTTACCCTGCTTGATGATGCACTCCGGTTGGTCGCGCGTCAGCACATCGTAGCGATCGCCATCGTGAACGTTGTAGTGGCGCAGGCCCGTCAGGCGTTGCTGCTTGTCCTGCGGATCGGGCGGAACGTACACCTCCTGCCGGTCCATCTGCGCCAGATCCGGCGGCAGATTGTCGTCCAGAATGGCGGCAATGGCCTGCTCGCTGTTCTCGTAGCGGGTCAGCAGGCGCCGGATGAAGCCCCTGCCCAAATCGGGCAGCACGTCCAGCACGGCGGTCACCTCCAGGTCGAGGTCTCTAGCGGCTCCTCCATTGGCCGTCGCCGTCGACTCCTGTGGCGATGTGCGCGAGGAGTCCTCGTCCTCGAACTCCCCGTCCTCCTCCTCTTCGGTGTCCTGGTTGCTCACCATGTCGTCGGCCATGATGCCGCCGGGGCAGCTGCTCAGCGCCTTCTGGTAGCCGGCTATCACAAAGTCCACCTTGTAGTTCTTGCTAAAGGGATATAGATAAAGATAAGGATAAGCTTTCTTAGTGAAATACAAGCATAACTAGACCTCGGATTTTGCATATTTTTATAAGATAAAGATAGATCAATTCCGAAAAACACCAAAGTTCGTTTCAATTAAAATATAGTTTAAAATGAATGGCACAAAATATATGCAAAATATAAAATAAACTCAACTATTCAAGATTGACCATTTCATAGCCAACCTAATTTAACCGAAGAAAATGGTTTGTTCCTTTTCGTCATTTCTGAGTTATCTAATTTTTTCCCAAATTTAAGGAAATCCTATTTATATTTCCAACGAGGCCAGAATAGTTTTTGTTTACTAAAGGTTCCTTAGAATACCAAGGCTGCATTCAAAAATTTAACCCTCCAGTTGTTTGTATATATTTTGCATCTTTTATGCATATAAATATTTTTTACATATATTTTGCATATTTTATGCATATATTTTTTGCATATATTTTGCATATTTTCTGCATATTTTTTTTGCATATTTTATGCATATATTTTTCATATTTTATGCATATATTTTTGGCATATATTTTGCACATATTTTTTGCATATTTTTGCATAAATTTTGCATATATTTTGCATATTTTACGCATATATTTTTTGCATATTTCAGCTATGCATCCGAATTTATAACATTTGAAAAATATGACACCCACCTAGAAATTTTGGAAAAAATCTGACCAAAAATGGAAAACTTTGCAAAATCCGAGGTCTAAATATAATCACAACTCACATATTCGGGCAGCGCTGGAGCAGCAGCTCCATGTCGTGCTCCAGGGGAAACTGTCGCTGGTAGTCGACCACAAAGTTCTGGGCGGACAGGCACTCCTGGAGCAGCTCCACCAGCTGCTGGCCGCGTCCCGCCTCCATTTGCAGGCTAACCAGGCGACGGACGACGAAGAGGAACTGCTGGCGCGTCTCATTCAGCCAACGCAGTGAGCTGGCCCCCGGATTCACCATATAGATGTTCTTGTACAGCATGGGCACGGTCAGATCATAGAAGTTGGCAATGCTGCGAAAGAGAGCGAGATGGAATCAGTTACCCGAGGAAACTCAAAGAAGAAAGAAACCTTTGGGCCAGACGCAGCTGCTCGATGGTTTCCAGCAGCTCCGGGCAGAGAAGCAGCAGCAGGCGCAGCGTGTAGGCGCAGTCCAAGGCGAAGAGCACCACATCGTCGTAGGGCGTCTCCAAATCGGCATCTAGCGGGGCTCCTCCGCCCGCTCCCTCGCATCCCTCGTTCTCCACCTGGATCTGCATGCTGAGGAAGGCGCTCTCGTAGAAAACCAGCGCCTCCTTCATGTCCTTCCGGTACTCCGGCTGCAGGCGCAGCACCTTCTCGAATATCTGCCTCAGCAGCTCCACATTGGTGGCCTCCGCATCGCCCACGGCAATGAGCAGATCGCAGAGCATGGGCACCGAGATCAGGTAGTTGCTGTACAACAAACTGCCATGCTGCTGCGGGCTGATCCACTCGGAGTCCGATTCCTCGCCGGTGCACAGGCGCATGACCAAACGCACGACGAGATCGAGCAGCTGGTTGTAGAGCAGATAAGCCGCCTCCAGCTCCGAATCCCGGCTAGCTTCGGGCTGCCTGTAATAGGGATTGGCGCGCTGCAGGAATGTGACAATGGCCGCCATGGCGGACTCCTCGTAGACCATATAAGACCAGAATCTGGAGGGGATTACATACGGAATTAGGTAATCTGCACTTAGAGGCGTCTTGTACTCACTCATGCTGGCTCAGGCTCAGCAGGAACTCCATGTCCTGGCGGCAGTTGTTGGCCGCAAATGTCCACTCCTCCAGCGCTGCTCCGGATTTCAGGTGGCCATAGGAGCTCATCAGGCAGATGTAGCTGCCAAAGGGCTTCTCGCGACGCACCCAGTGCTCGTCCTGCGTGGATTAGGTTGGTAAGTATCACCGGGATGTGCTGGAATCTACCTACCAAAGCTGGAACATGCCTGCGCACCCCATCCTCGCCAGAAAGCGCGAATTTCAGGTCGCCCAGCGGCAGCTTCTGTGGGTTGCAGTTGTTGTTGTTGCTGGTGTCGTTGTCCAGCATGACGGTTATAAGATTAACTAACTAACTAGGATAATATAGGATATTAAATTGGCCTAAATGGAACGTCGACTTTTGCGAATTTCGTGCGGCGCAAGGTGCCGCGAGGTGGCAAGGTGACGCACGAAAGTGCAGCTTGTGACGTCAGAGGGTTGCCAGAGAGTCGGCAGAAAATAGCTATTTCTAGCGGGAAAAAAACAATGTAATTTTGCAGGGAAAAAGCTAATTATTAACTTTATTAAATAGACTAAATAACAGATAACAGACTAAAAGAACGTAAAACCAAAATAAAAAAAGCTAATAAAAGTTTATTTAAGTTTATTTACTAACTTTATTAAATAGACTAAATAACAGATAACAGACTAAAAGAATGTAAAACCAAAAAAGAAAAAAGCTAATTAAAGTTTATTTACATTTATTTATTAACTTTATTAATTAGACTAAATAACAGATAATAGACTAAAAGAATGTAAAACTAAAAAAATAAAAAAGCTAATTAGTTTATTTAAATTTATTTATTAACTTTATTATTATTTAGATAATAGACTAAATAGAATGTAAAACCCGCTAAAACAAATAGCTTTTTCAAACATGTACCTGTTATCGATAAGTGGCATCGATAAGTAGTCAAACTTTGAACGTTGGTATCAAAAAAAGTTCAGTTTGTTCGAAACTCCGAAAGAATCGACTTGTTCTTTTCAAGTGTTTATCCATTAAAAACCCATTAAACTTGGGATTTGTTTATTTCTTGTGTTTGGGCTTCTACTTTCTCGTGGTGATTCCTAAATAAAAGTGTTTAAGCGCATTGGAAGATTATAAAATGAAGCCGTCTGAAGATCTCAAAGTTCCCAGTTTTACGGGGGAGTACACCGGATCCACTTTCACATACGCCAGTCCAAAATCCGGAGCCGATTCCCTCGACTTTTTGGCGCAAACAATCAGAGGAAGAGACCCCAACACATGCAGAATTATTTTGATATGTCAGCAGAATTTCGAAGCCGAGCATCTGAAATCGGAGCTCGCCGGACGCGATGTCAACACAATCCTCCTCGCAGCGGATGACCCGATGGCCAACCAAGTGCTGCTCCTCTGGTCAAAAGGGGTACGTTTAGGCTTTTAACCCAAGTTTTAAAGGTTCACAAAGAAATATGTATGTTTAGTTATCAAAATTTTGAATATGACCACAAAATGGCTGCTGTGCACAGAGAAAAAAAGTTTAAGTAACTAATAATACCATTATTAACATTAGAAAAAATCTAGAAATAATAGATAGATGAAATAGATTTTTTAGATGGGAAAAAATTAGGATCTGGGTTTTTGGTAAAAGTATACAATTTTCGTTGTGTTTTTTTGCTGTAACTTGGCTTAAGCTAACAATCTATTAAATTGATCTCATGATTGAATGACAATTTTTAAATTGTTTATTATTTTAGAAGTTATAACTATTTTTTCGAAAAATTGTAATTTAATCATTAAGCGCCGTTTTCTGGTCCGCATGTTATATACTCTAAATTACTGTAAGTTTTCGATGTTTTTTTTTAGTATTATTATATTATTATTATTATATTATAATGAGAATTTGCCATATAGGTCTGAGTGACTTTTCCTATTCGATAACAATTAATTTATCTTATATTTCCAGTACATTCACCAAGCCCTGATTCTTTGCGATTCCATGCTAAATATTCTTGAGGGACTCGAGGTGAATTTCGTGATCCATACATCGTTGCCGCCGTTGAAAAAGTTTGAACAACGCTTGGAGAGGCTGAGAAAGTCGGAAATTAAAGCCGAGTCGTTGGTTATAACAGCTCACTATGGGGGAAATGGGAATTCCGATAATAAAATAGTAAAAGCAGATACAGAAATGTTACAATCCCCGAAGAACGGAGTAAATGAGAGCCCCAAAATGCTGGATAAACCACAACCTCTAGAAGATGTGCCCATAAAAGACATAAAACCAGTGGTCAAGGTGGATCCTATATATTTAAGAAACCTCAGTGAAAAGGAATTTGAACGTTTTAAATCTTCAAAAGATGATGAAGCAAAATCTGTTTTTAATCCAACTGGAGCATTCTCTGCTATTCAAGACTTCAATACTCCTGTGGTCCTCGAGCCAATTCCAAAATCCTTGGATGATAAAGAGGCTCAATCATCTTTAAAGGTAGAAGACATTATGAAAGAGTTCCTAAAACTAACTATTGGATCTAAGACTCCAGAATCCCAGTGCGATTATAAAGAGGATCCGAGTTCTTTTAGAGTAGAAGGAAATGTGGAAGAATTTGGTCCTTCCGAGGAGGTATCTTCTTCGGAAGCCTCGGAACTTGAGCTGCAGAGCTTGTTGATGTCAAGGAGACTTCAGAGTGCTCTCCCAGAATTGGAGTCTTCTCCTGAGCCTCCGTATCCGCCTCAAATAGTTACCATTGCAGAACCCCTTTCCCTGGATCTTCTTGATGATACCGCTTCTCTCGACTCCTTCCAAACCGTGGAGGACTCTCCTTCTCCCTCCATTTCTCCGGATTCTCTCACTGCCGGTGGCACCATCGTCTATAATTATGGAATCCTGTCCTGGAGTCGCCACCTGGTTGTTCCGTGCTACGACCTTAGTGGAGTGCCTGGCATAAGCCATAAAATCCGGGTTGCCATGCATCAAATGGGCGTGGCCAGGAGCCGAGCCCGTGCTGTCCAGAGATTCGCCTGGCCCCACGTCGCCGCTGGGAGATCGCTGATCGTCGTGGGCAACACGCAGATCGGCAAGACCTGGTGCTATCTGCCTATCCTATGCCAGCGGAGCCACGAGGAGCTGCAGCTGCGTCGTCCCTCTGATGACCATGGACCCACCAGCATCGTAGTGTGCTCCAATCAATCGCAGGGCCAGCAGATTGGCCGCTCCATGGACACGCTGCTCCGTTCGTTGGGCAATGATTCCTCTCTGGAGACGATGGTCAGTCACTGGGACATGGGCAATGTGACGGACATCCTGGGCAGGCTCAGCCAGCCCGTGGGCATCCTGCTGACCAGCGTGGACCTGCTGCTCCAGCTGCTGACGCATCACTCCAAGCGGTCGCCCATTTTCGATGCGGCTGCCGTGAAGTTTATAGCTCTGGATAACCTGCACGACATGGTGCGTCTTCTGCCGGATGTCACGATGCGGCTGCTCAAGCGGCTGCCGGAAATATTTGATTTTTCTCCTAGTAAATGCCAGCTTTTTGTCTCCGGAAGAAATTGGCACCCGGATCTGATGAGGCAGCGCCTCCTGCCGCTGATGCCCGAGGTTCTCCTCCTCTTCGATGACGCTTTGGAGGCTTCTGTCTATGGCGGCGTACAGCTGGACACTCGGATTGTGCCGGAGGAGCAGAAGATCGAAGAGCTGGTGGCTCTAATCAGGCAGAAAAATCTCTCAGAGGATCGCACCATTGTCTGCTGTTCCAGCGCCGCCGAGGTTCTCCATTTGCGCCACCAGCTGGACGGGATGGGCATCGCCGTGCAGACCTGCATCTCGGAGTCGTGCTTCAACCAGGTCAGCCAATGGCGACGCCAATCTCCGGCCAGTCTTCTCCTGGTGGCGGATGATGTGGTGCCCAAGCTGCGATGCGGATTTATAGCCCTGCTCATCCACTTCAACTGGGCCACCAGCTGGATGCGTTTCAAGCATCGCTTCAGCCTCTTCCACGAGAACTACAAATCAATGCCGGCGAAGAGATGCAGTAAATCCGTGATCTTCTGCCAGGCTACCGATGTGGACAGCATCTGGCTGATGGCTGACTTTCTGCTGAAGCATGGACTACCCAGGCCCAGCCATTTGCTGGACATTCTGGCCCAGCGTCGCCTGGCGGAGCCTCTGCATCCGATGAGGCTGCGTCTCTGCCGCCAGGTGACCGCTTTCGGGGATTGCCTGAGGAACAGCTGCCGGTACAGGCATCTCGTGTGGCAGCAGGAGGTCGTGCCGCCGTATCATTATCCCACCAAGGGCGAGATTCGATTCACGGTCCTAACTGTGGGTACTTTTGGATTAATACATTTTTAAAACCTTTTTATACCCTTGCAGAGGGTATTATGATTTTAGTCATATTATATATTGTTGATCAGCATCACTAGACGAGTCGATCTAGCCATGTCCGTCTGTCCGTCTGTCCGTTCGTCTGTCCGTTTCTACGCAAACTAGTCTCTCAGTTTTAAAGCTATCGGCATGAAACTTTCCGAAAATTCTTCCTTCTATTGCAGGTAGTATATAAGTCGGAACCAGCCGGAACGGACAACTATATCCTATAGCTCCCATAGGAATAATCGAAAAAATAATGGGAAACAAATTATAGCTTCGATGTTTTTTAATATTTTACTTTCTTCTCTTAAGAATATTTTTTTTTTAATATTTCTGAATTTCGGATTAAATTTTTAAAGAATCGGACGACCATATCCATATTTAAAACCATTAAAAAATATAATAGGAAATAATAAATAGCTTCTTTGGTTTTTATTCTATTCTCTTCTTCTCTAGGATATAACGTTTTTTTTTAATATTTCCGAATTTTAAATTAAGTTTAACAAAAATCGGACGACTATATTTTATAGCTGCCTTAGGAAGGTTAAAAAAATAATGTCAAAATAATAGGAAATTTAACAATTTTGCGATTTTTAAATTAATAGGAATAATCTGCAAGGGTATCTTTCTTTTATCTTCCTTTTAACTCACCTTTGATATTTTAAATCTCCAGTGCAACAGTCCCGCCAGCCTGTCGGTCCGACTGAACGACCAATATCCCACGGTGGCCTACTTCCTCAGGATTCCGATGACCAATCTGGGCCAGCAGGTGCAACGGCACTACGAACTGGAGGAGAACCGACGCAGGCACCCCAATCCTGCGCCCGGCGAGCGGGTGGTGGTCAAGAACATGAACCGCTACGAGCGAGTGGTCATCCTGGAAGTGAACAAAGAAGGTAATGGTAATGGTAAGGTGTCGGTGCAACTGATGGACACGGGCACCGACATACTCATCTACAATGCCAGCCAAGTGTACATCTGCGAGAAGATCTTCAAGGTAATATATTATCCATACATATACGATTATATCTTAAATATTTTATGCATATTATTATATAGGTATAATTATATAAAGAAATTAACTAATACTTATCTTAAGTAATTATTATATAGTTAAAACTTCATGATGTAACCCCTTATCAAAAATACAAAAATTTGTATAAAAGTAAATTTTCCCAAAAGTGATGATAAAATATCCGTTTTTTTTGCCGAAACAAAGGATATATTAGGCCAAATTTGGAGTATCATACCTTGTTGAACTGATAGCTTAATTCTGAATCGATTTGCGTTCAAATCTGGACATATTATTAAATTTGATATTAACTTGGCTTAATGTTAAAAATATAATACTTTTTTTTTTAGCATGTCTAGTAATAATAGTTTTAGTTTCTGTCTTAGAATTTTTTAAAATTCTTTAAATTTATATATCTATGTATTATGAATATATCCTAAGTAATATCATTTAATATTTCAAACTTTGTCGCCTAAAATATACTAATCTTCTTTGACTATTTTAAATATCTTATCATATTTAATCCTAGGTCGACTTTAAATAATATCATATCCTAAGTAAAAACATATAAGTATAATTGTATAAGTATAATTAAATCTGATTACAACTTGAAACCCTTGCAGGATCAACAACATCTTATAAATACTAAGTAACATCTAAATATTATAATTATATAATTTTATCTGATTATCTTTGCAGGATCAACCGCGGGAGGCAATGGAGGTGAGGATCACTGGCCTCGAGCCGGAAAGCCTGGATCGCATCTGGCCCGAGGATGTGCGCAATGTGGTGCGCAATCAGTTCTTCAGCAGGACGCAGAATAGACGGTGTCGCCAGTTCTCCGCCGTTGTGCAGGCCACCATCCACGAGACCATCTTCGTTCGGGATGTGCACGATAGCGAGGGCAACGACCTGCGCACCTTCGTTTCGAGTCGTTTCCGCGTTCACCAGGAGGAGCACTGCCTGGACAAGCTTATTAGAATGGTCCAGGGCTCCAAACCCAGACCAGCTCCAAAAAGCCACTAATTTTACATTCACTCATAGAAATTTTTACCTAAATACTAGAAAAGTCGCCCTAAAACTAGGAAAAATTTTCTTATTATACAGGTGCCTAGCCCTTAATATACGAAAAATCGCCATATAAAATATTTTTTAGGGTTAGTTTTCCCTATTATTTAGAGCGAATTTTTATGAGTCGACTCCAAAAGTAACTTCTTCTTTTTAGGGCGCAATTACCTTTAAAAATAGAAAAATCGTCGTAAATGTATGACTAATTCACCCTTATTTTTAGGGCAACTTTACATTATTTTGTTGCCTAATCGCCATTGACCCCTGTTTTAGGGCGATTTTACCGGAAAACTTCTATGAGTGTTGAATCCTGCTTATTTGAACATTTTTTATCATCTAAAAAATTTACTTATGTTTTCTTGTACAATGGGCTTACATTTCATTTCGAAAAAAACGTTTTCCTTTCTTTTTTAAATTTATAAAGCAATTGCATTTGATTATTCCTGCATTTAAATAATAATATTTCATTATGGAACAACTATACATATTCCTCATTCTGATATTATATTATTCTATCAGTCATGATACTTGATCTTGATGATTCTTTTACTTGTTTTTAATATGTGTTTAAACTTTAAAGGTATTTTTATATTTGTAATGATCCTTTTGAAACAAATAAATGGCATGATCCTAAAAAGTCTTTGAAATGGGGGATTGACAAGTGGCTTAATAATAAATAAAAAATAAATTATCTTATAAATATTATATCACTTCCTATAGTGTTGATCATTATATCTTTAAAATCATTATTATAGAATGGTCTGATATTGTATAATTCTATTTATCATGATGCTAGACCATGATGATTCTTTTTATAAATAAAAAAATAGATAACATGATCCCAAAAACCCTTTAAAATGGGGGATTGACAAATAAAAGTAAAATAAATTAAGTTATAAATATTATAACACTTCTTATAGTGTTGATAATTTTAAAAATTCATTATTATAGTATAAAAAAATTAATGAAGTCCTATTAATTCTAATCTAGATCTAGTTAACTTATTACCACTATTAAATCTGAAATATTATGTGTGAACTGATCGATAAAGTTACATTTTTGACTTAGGTATTACTATTTAGGTACCAAATATTTGAACAGTAATCGATACTTGTAATACTAATCTACCTATATCACTATATCCTAGCTATATCAGTAAGTATACCATATCTAACTGAAGAACCGTTTGATTTTCGTGTGAAAGTGTATGTCCATGTGTGAAATTCGCCACTTGCGCAATTGATGTCGTTTTCCAATGTCCTAATCATGCGACAGCCCGACGAGGTAGGCTCCCAGTGACCCAGTTTCCCAGTTAGTGACTCCTCCTCGTTTTCCAGGGCAAGTGCCACATCTGTAAGCGGGTCTTCTGCTGCGGCAAATGCCGCCAGAACCATCAGTTCAAAGCGCACGCCATTGCTGTGCGGGAACCACTGGGATTGAGAGTAGCCGGGAGCGGCGTTGGAGGAATCACGGAGCACCGCCATCAAATGGAGTCGGGAGCCACCACCATCTACGTGTTCTGCCCGATCTGCGAGCGACGACCGCTGATGCTGCGCGAGGAGATGCACGGCGAGCTGCTGGCCCACATCGAAACCTGTCATTTGCCTTTGAGATGCCGGAAGTGCCAGCGCAACTACACGCGCATCGACGACCTGCGGGAGTTCAGCAAGTGCGTGGATCAGCAGCAGAACTGCAGCGATCTCACCATCGACACGGAGACCTCCAAGGTGACGGTGAAGAGGGCGCCGAATACGAATAGCACTGCCATCTCCACCCAAACGTCGCCCGGCATGACGCCCATTTCGCTGATCAACATGCGCTGGAAGGCCAAGAGCCGCCTGACCCACGAGGAGTTCATCAGCGACAGCGTCTCCTCCATCCGCAACCTGTCCTCGTTCAGCAACAGCTCCATTCGTCGCTCCGTTGGCCAACTGGGCGTCAATCCGCCGGAAACGGTGACCAAGGGAAAGGTGATTCGCTCCACTTCCACGCCGCTGCAGGTGGAATCGGTGTTTGCCAAGCCCAAGGAGCCGCTCACTTTTAATGCCTCCAATGGCGGGCATGTGTCTAGTATCTACCACGAGGAGCCCAGCCCCGCGCCAGAGGGCAATCCCCTCCAGCAGCAACCGTTGCAGCAGCGCGCCTGGAAGATGGGCGCCCGGAACAAGATGAGCGCCGCCACTCCGCTGCGCCAGGTGATGTCGAAGAGCATCCAGAAGGCCTTCGTGGAGCACGGCGGGATGCCCTCCGCGGTGATCCAGCGACGCGTGCGCCTCGATCTCAGCGAGCACAGCTCCTGCGAGGCAACTTCCTCCTCCTCCGCCCTCGATTTGCGCCTCTCGCCGGCCATGCGACGCACCCAGAGCGAGTCCAGCGCCTCGGAGGTCCACAGTAGCTCCTCCGCCGATGTCTACAAGCGTCCCTTCCTCCTGTCCGCCCAGAAACTGACCACCGAATCGATCATCATCACGCGCATGAACTCCAACTCGCAGGAGAGCTCCTCCACGGTGTACAACTCGTGCGAGAGCGTCGAGATCATACGCTCCACCTCGGAGTCGGCTGAGGTCCATGTGCCGGCGGCCATCACGCCCATCCGGGTGACCGGAGCCGGGATCAACAAGAAGCAGATCAAGTTCGAGACGCCGCCGAAGGGCAATGGCAGCCAGGAGCTAATGCTGCCTGGCGGCGGGCAGGAGGACGACAAGGATCAGTTCTTCACGCCGGATCCGGGGACTCCAGAGCGAACGGAGCGGCGTAATCCTCGCCAGGCGATTGTGCCGCGCCAGCTGAGCGGCGAGTTTTCGCCCAAGAAGGAGGATCAGAACAACAGGGCCAAGGAGCAGCTGGTCTCGCCTCCTTTGCAGCGACCCAGGTTGCGTCCTCCGTTGAGGGAATGTGGCCAAAGGAGGGTCTTCAGTGGCGTCCAGGATGTGGGCGATCCAGAGGAGCCGGAGGAGGAGGAGGACGAGGTGTTCCGGCCGACGAACGCCTCCACGCGTAAGGACAAAGAGCCGGGAAACTCAGGACGCCTGTGGTCACTGATGACCTCCATGATGCGACTGCCGGCCAGTTTGCGCGGGGAAAAAGAGAAGGAGAAGGAAAAGGAGAAGTATCCGGAGGCGGAGAAGGAGAACGCCGGATCGGGCTCGCTCATCCGCCGCTGCGCCTCCATTGCCGGCTCCCTGGTGCGTCCTGGAACCAGGGATTCCTCCTCCTCCTCCATGGAGGACAGCCAGAGCCTCAAGAGGAAGCGCACCCAGACGCTGGACAGCCAGTACTGCAGCCCGTTGTCGCCGTCCAGCTCCTCCAAGCGCTACCGCATCCGGCCCAGGGAGCCCATCGAGCGCATGCGTCGCCACTAGGATTTAAGTTATTTCGAAACAGCCAAATTTGTGTTTTTATTATTGTGAATTTTAGTCTTTTCAAATAAATGTTTACTTTCTGCATTAAGCGTTAGAGGAACCTTTAGAGCTTTAGAGCTGCCATATAGACCGAATGACCCTTTTGCAAAATCAAAAATTATTTATTATTTTTGGCAGTTCTTTTGTTGTCTATAACCTTAGGAAACTATAAAAAATGATTAGTTCCTCCTTTTACTTAATTTATAGTTTTAAAAATAACCAAAAAGCTCACTCAAGAAATCGTCTCGTTTAGAGGGGCCTTCAGTAGAGCTGCCATATCGACCGAATGAATGATCCTTTTACAAAAAAAGTCACGAACAAAACAAAACAACGCGGAATAAATTAAGGAAACACTGCATCCGGGATGTCCAAGCCGAAATCTGGCGGCTCTGGCGGCTCTCAGCCGGACTCCTCATCAGGCCAAAAAATCGAGGCGAGCAAGCTGTGGATCCACTGCGGCAGATGCTACGCCCTGTATGTGGATAAGAAGGTGAAGCTCTTCTTCCTCGCCTGCAACCACGTGCTGTGCGAGAAGTGCGTCAAGGTGAAGTCCGGACGCACTCCCTCCGACTCCAACATCTTCGTGTGCTGCACCTGCCAGAAGAACTCCCACGGCCGCGAAATTAACAACGATATGCCCAATTACGTGAAGAGGTTCTTCCACACGGAGGCCTTTCAGCTGGCCAGCGAGGCGATCGACAAGTTCCAGTTGTCCAACCACAGGCACTTTGACAAGTACAAGGAGCGGAAGGTAGGGATGCCTATATTATATATGTAACCACCTATTTACCCTTTGGTTCCTTAAAAAATATCCCACATCTCACATAGTACAACACTACAGAACGGGAGCATGGATCCGCTTTTAAATAAATTAATAATATTAAATTAATTTAAATAAATTTACCTCTCTATCTCCTAACTTTGGCGACAAACAAATAAAGCCAATTTAGAAGAGCATTTACAGGGTGTTAAAATCCATAAAAAATCCAGAATATATCTTACAAGTCCCGTTAATCATAACTACCAAATAGATCTCACAGTTTTTAAAAGATTTTCCACATTCGAGTAGTTAAAGATTAAAATTTAAAGATTAATTTTCAATAAAGTGTGCATCCACTACGAAATGTGTCCTATTGATACCCTATTGATCTTTATAAACTGTAAAAATTGTGTTTTAAAACTGCATAGAGAAAGGAATATTAATGTTATTTGCCACTCTATCTATGATTAAGGTAGGACTTCCTAATAAAGACGATTTAGAAGCACATTTACAGGGTCTTCAAATCCATCAAAAATCCTGAATAAATCTTACATGTCCCTTAAATCTTAACTACCAAATAGATCTCACAGTTTTTTAAAGGAATTTCCACATTCGATTATACAGTTTATTAAAAATTAATCTCCATCAAAGTATGCATCCACTATGATATAGAATAGTATACAAAAGTATAGATACCCTATTAATCTTTGCAAACTGTAAAAATTGTGTTTTAAAACTGCAATTAGGTACAGGCATTTGAATAATATTACGTTCTTGAGCTGAAGGCCTTAGTTGCTAGAGCTCTTAATTTAGTTAGCTTATAGTTTTAACTTTTGGTTAGTTTTATTTAAATAAATAAACATTACATTCTTTCATTTCCGCAGGAGATCGAGATGAACAAACTGGCCAAGGACATAGCTTTGGCCAAATCGGTGTGTGAGAAACGCTTTAAGGACTTCAATATGATGCGCGTGGAGCGCAAGAAGCTGTCGCAGAGGACGAAGCTCATAAAAGAGGAAGCGGCCAAGCAAAAGGCTGAAATGGAAAGGTTCGAATTGATATTCAAATTTCGATCATGCCTATTGATAGATTTCATTTGTATCCCCTTAGGATGGCCCAGGCCAAGCTTAACCGCACTTTGGAGTCGCAAAAGTCCTCTTCATCCGCAAGGGATACCATTCATGGACGCCCTCATGTTCGTGGAGGCTCCCAGGTCGGCAGTCGACGAAGCTCCAAGGATTCGGGCCGCGGAACTCAAGCCAAGCGCCCAAAGGTCACCAGCTTCCACCATCTGCCGAACCACTCGTTCAATCTTTAATCTAATATTTAAACTAATATCGTCATTATTTAGATTTGAATAATAGTTTACTTTAAACATTAACGTTGGTTCTCATGTAAATAGTTTCAAACTGAAAAAGTTAGTTATTTAACTATAAAACTCTCTAACCTTCACTTAGATAATGGAAATAATAGTTTAATTTAAACATTCAAGTTAATTCTTATAAAACCGATTGAGTACAAGTATGTTTAACTATTTTTTTAAAGGAATACAAACTTACTATTTGAGAATAATTGTTAACTTTAAGTAATCAAGTTAAATTTGTTATTTATTTTTATTTAGATAATCGAAATACAAGTTTATTTTCAATATTCAAGTTAATTTTTATGTCAGTATGTTAAACTATTTGTTTGGTAAAAACAAAAATTTAATTTAATTTAAAATAATTGTTGATGTTAAGTTATCAAATTCAATTTGTTATTTATTTTTATTTAAATTATGAGCACTTAAATTCCTATTAAGTTCAATTCAATTTTTGTTAAAAATCACATTAATTGTAAACAGTAATTAATAAAGTTATATGAACTTTATTGAAAAATAAGAAGTTGAACATGAAATTCTTTTCGGATTTTTATTAAATAGTTCCTGTAAAGTTAACATTTCCCCTTGGCATTAACAGGAATGTTAGGACTGAAATCGATTAGTCGTGAAACCGGACAGCAACCACAATCGATGGCGGCGTTATCGATGGTATCGAATAAACATCTGCCAAAAAACGCATAAAAAGAATTCAATTAAAAAGGAGGCCAAACGTCACTAAAGCGGCGATTCCGGCTCATTCCGACGACTGAGGATCAAGGACACGGACACGGATACGGAGGATGATGAGTGGCAAGCCGGGTGGCGGGGTGGTGGTGCTCAACTGCCGGACGTGCACGCGTGCCTGCAAGCAGCACAAGCCGCTGCAGGAGGAGATCGAGCTGGGTCCGGAGGGCAGCACCACGCTGGCCAGCATGCTCCACTACTGCGCCGGCCTCTCCTTCGAGCCGCAGGACGGCGCCGCCATGCCGCAGCACATCTGCCTCAACTGCCTGCAGCTCCTGGAGCAGGCGTTCAACTTCAAGCGCATGGTCATCGACTCGGACGAGCTGCTCCGTTTGGGCCTGGACGAGGCGCACGGCACCAGCCACCACCAGCAGCAGCAGCAGCAGAATCATCAGCAGAGCCAGCAGTCCCACCAGCCGAGCCCGCAGCAACAGCAGTGCGGCGATCCCAGCGAGGAGTACGTCATGATCGAGATGCTCAACGAGGAGCAGGATCCCGGCAATGTAAATATGGGGTTCCTTTAAGCTAGAAGGGGGTAAAGCTATTCTTAGGCCTTGTAATTAATGGAATTCCAAGCAGATTTATAAACTGATTTCAATGGTAAATCCAATGAGTAGCATACTCTTAGGATAGGATTCGTTATTTTAGATAAAGTTGGGGTAGATTTCTTGTATTTTATAAGTTTTATCATTTATGATTTTTTTTAGATTTTTATGTCAATCCGTTCTGGGTGTAATTTTCTACTGACCGTTTTTTAGAGGTTCAATTTTATATTAGTTTAGATTCAAGTATAACTAATTACTTTACCCTTCTTAGTTAGAAGAACAGACCATGTAACTAATGGAATCCCAACCAGATTTGATCGGGATCAAAGGTGTTTATAAACAGATTTCAATGGAAAATCGAATGAGTAGCATATTCTTAGGGTAGGAATCGTTATTTTAGATAAAGTTGGGGTAGATTTCTTGTATTTTATAAGTTTTATCATTTATGATTTTTTTAGATTTTTATGTCAATCCGTTCTGGGTAAAATTTTCTACTGACCGTTTTTTAGAGGTTCAATTTTATATTATTTTAATGACTTTACCCTTCTTAGTTAGAAGAACAGGAAGCGGAGGCGGAACGCCATGAGCACTGCAGCCCCGACGACGAGGAGGAGTTCGTCATCGAGGAGGTGGCCGACCACGAGGAGGAGCTGACGGAGGAGGAGCAGCAGATGGCACAGGAGGGCGAGGGCAACCACGAGGAGCAAATCACAATGGAGAGTGTCCATGAGTTTCAGCCCGCCGAGGTGGAGTATGTGACAATTAAGAATGAATTCGAGACCATCGTCACCGAGGAGGATGAGATCGAGGTGATGGACGAGTCGGGCGGCCACGAGGAGATCCTGGATGGCCAGATGATTGTGATACCCGCGGAGGGAGCCATGGACGAGGTGATTGGCGAGGAGGCCCTCGAATTGGACGAGGACGAGCGCGAGGAGCACTTGGTAGGTGGTCCAGCTAGCTGTTACTAACTCTTCCTCCTGAATTAACCACAATTAACCTTAAAACAGCTCGCTGAAGGCGAGGATGTCTGCGAGGAGGAGGACTTCCTGGAGGAGTCGCTGGACTCCGCGCCACTGGCCGCCGGCGAGGCCCTTCCCCACGTCTGCTCCGTGTGCCAGAAGGCCTTCCGCCAGCAGTGCCGCCTCAACCAGCACATGCGCTCCCATGTGGACGAGAAGCACTACGAGTGCGAGGAGTGCGGCAAGCGGCTGAAGCACCTGCGCAACTACAAGGAGCACATGCTCACGCACACGAATGTCAAGCCGCACCAGTGCAACATCTGCGGCCGCTTCTATCGCACCACCTCGAGTCTGGCGGCCCACAAAAGGACGCATGCCGAGGAGAAGCCCTACAATTGCGATCAGTGCGGCCGTGGCTATGCGGCCTACGATCATCTGCGCCGCCACAAGCTCACCCACACGGGCGAGCGGCCCTATGCGTGCGATCTGTGCGACAAGGCGTACTACGACTCGTCCTCGCTGCGCCAGCACAAGATCAGCCATACCGGAGAGAAGGCCTTCACCTGCGAGATCTGCGGCGTCGGGTTGTCCCAGAAGTCGGGCTACAAGAAGCACCTGCTCGTCCACACCGGCGCCAAGCCGCACAAGTGCCCCATCTGCGGCCGCGCCTTCACCTTCACCAGCAACCTCAATGCCCACGTCCGCCTGCATTCCGGCGAAAAGCCGTTCAAGTGTGAGGTCTGCATGAAGGCCTTCCCCACCAAGAAGCGTCTGAATAGCCATTTGCGGGTCCACAACAAGGAGACGCCGGTGGTGGTTGGTCAGTCGATCGATCAACGCCGACGAGCGGTGGTTGCTGGAGGAGGAGGAGCAGGAGGAGGCGGAGGAGCAGGAGGCAATCACCACCTAACCGAAGTACCTGAGCAACCGGTGTCCACCTCCAAAGTGGTGGTGGTGCTTTGAGCGGAGGAGGAGCGACCCTAGAGCGTAAGACTAGCCTAAGGTTTTTACATTAACTGTTGGGAATCAAACACAATAAACTTTAATGACACTGTACCATGTACATGTATTTTTTTACCCACATAAAAAAGTGTGTTTTTTAATCTGTTATGTTAGAGCCCTGCGTAAATCATTCAACTTTTGTTTTATCATAGTATGCCAGGAAATTTCTGATTTGTTTAATTCAATTCTATGTGAAATAAATGCAATGTTTTTGCTAATTTATTTTGAACTAAATGAATGAATAATTTTAAAAATTCTCAGTTAGCTCATAGTTTTACACTGTAAGTTAGCTTTATATAAATAAAATAAACAAATAATTTTTATGAATTTTTTGAATAGATATTTTTGTGCTTTCTTTTGAGAACAAGAAGTGGAAAATTTTTAACAAATCAATGTTAACTGCATAGTTAATAAAATTCAGGCAGATTTAACCACAAAATTATGGCCTTTCTTCTTCAAAAGAAATTGTTTTTCATTCATTCATTCAATTCTATTAAACTCAAAATTCAAATTCATTGAATTCTATCAAACTCAAAATTCAAATTCATTGAATTCTATTAAACTCAAAATTCAAATTCATTGAATTCTATTCTATTCAATTCTATTCAATTATATAAAACAAAAATTTCAAAATAATTCACTGAATCCATTCATGCAGTGCTCTAGTTTGTGTATGATATTAATTTAACGATAAATATTCCCTTTGATAAGATAAGATAAATAAAACACATGGACTGCTGTTATGTTTTTGGTTTCGCTTTTAGGTCATCTGTTTATAATAATATTATTATGATTACATTGCCAAACAACAAAAACAAGCAAGTTTAGTTATTTATTTAAACAAAAACATTCGCCTTATCTTATCCCAGGGGAATTAATAAAAAGTGCGTGCCTTCCTGCCTTCCTACTCCTAAATCGACGAAAAAATATGGCCAGTGTGCTGCTGCAGGTTTCTTTTATGTTTGTAGCTTCTCCCGATCTCTGTGCTCCGGCAGGCGGAAGGAAGGAAGGTTAAGGTATGGATATGGAACGGGGTGTGCGGGATGGCCAGCCTCCTGATCCTAGCGCCCCAGAATGCTGCGCGACCACTGCTTGACCATGGGCTTGGTCTTCGACTGCTCGACGCGCTCCGCCTCCTGCATTTGCTCGGCCAGCCGGCGCTGGTTCTCCCGGAACTGGCTGATGGGATCGTCGAACTGGCGGTAGTAGTGCAGCACCTCGCGCACATCGTCCACGTTGTTCTGGGCAATAACTGGGAGGGAAAATAGTGTTTATTTCTTGTAGAATCTGACAACTAATCAAGACTCACTCTTCAGGAAGGCAATCAGGTCCAGCAGCTGGCCATCATCGTCATTGCCGTGCCAGCGGGCCAAGCCGAATGTGTTGTCCGGATGCATTTTGGTGGCATTCGCATCCCAGTCAATAACAATTACCTAAAAAATTAATTCTAGTTATCCAAAGTCAAGCTAATAACTAGACATCGGATTTTAGATGAAATCGTTTTTTAAAATACGATTTAAAGCCGCATTTGATTGGTTACAAATTTTATTTATTAAGATATAATTAGATTTAGGACAAAATTAATTGAGGTTTTGTAAAGAAAAATTGTAACCAATCAAATGTGGCTTTAAATCATATTTAAAAAAACGATTTCACCTAAAATCCGATGTCTACTAATAACTAAAACCCACCTTCTTCAAATCACGATTCAGGTTGTCCAGATTCTTCACATGATGGCCGTCCACAAAGTGGGTGGCGTCCCTGACCAGGCGGTACATAATATAGCCATTCGGATCGAGGGCGTCCAGGATGGGGAATACGGTCATGCCCTGTTCGGCGGTAAACACAACGATCTCGAACTCCTTGGCGCACTCGGCGAGGAAGTGATCGACGCCCGGGCGCTTCTTGAAGCGCCAGCCCGTCTGGTATGTCCAGTCCGGATGCACCAGCACGTCCTTCATCTCGAGGACGAGCGTGTAGCGCGGCTGGACATACGGCGGCTTGAGCGGATCGGGCAGCAGCTTGGCCCGCGACGGCTCCTGGATCATCCGCTGATAGTAGTGGATGCTCTTCCACATGCGCTGCAGATACTGCTGCACCAGCGGCTTGTGTGTGAACTCGTCCTCGATGGTCTGCCCATTGGGATCCACCTCGGGCTTCCCGAACTCGTAGACGGCCCAGAAGCCAGCGGCCACCCCACCGCCGCCGAAGATGGCGAAGCTGTGGGAGGATTAAGGATGTGATTAGGGATTCATTTGGCTGGTAAATAACCCACCCCAGCTTCATGCGCTTCCAGGCGCGCTCGTTCTCCTTGGCCTCCTCCTCCTCGCGCTTCTGGCGCTCCTGCTCGGCGCTGCTGTCCACCTCGGGCGCGGTCTGGGGAAAGAGCTTGGCCAGCAGCGGGGCACTCGAGCTGCTGGATCCTCCAGCTGCATTCTCCTGCTCTGTAAAATGGAAAGAGATTCATTTGGATGGGGTTTCCCTGGCTTGGTGGGTTCTCGACAACTTACTGGTGGTGCTGCTGTAGCCGCGGGCTGTGTGGAGGAGCAGACTGGAGGGCAATGGCAGCGTTGTGGAAGTGGCAAGTCGGTGGTGGTGGCGGGTTAAGTGATTACCCAATGCGCCGTGCTGGTGGATTTGGCTGAGTACCCGCGGCGTGCTCAGGCCGCGCAGCATCTGGAGGACGGTGGCCGGTGCCATGGTCATGCTTGCCCGATTTCGTGTCCTTGCCTTGCACCGATTTCGAGTCCTGCCCGCCGAGCAGCGACTTTTTTCTTACAGAATTTCCAATAAAGATTTCAACCTCGCACCGGCACGGCGATGGCGTTAGGGTTTTTTGTGGCCCACTCGCCCAGCAGGCGTTAGTACATTTAGCACGTGGTGACTCGGTAATTGCAAAGCGGCTACTTCCAAGCCAAATCTGGCAGGCTTTTTATTGGGAGCCTTCTTTATAGCGCATGTCCAAAGTTATTGGTCTAAAATTTCAGAAAAACCTTAAATGGGTTAATAACAATAATTAAATTTGCATTAAAATACTTAGTGTCAGAGAAAATGTTATTTTTAGATTAATTGCTAGGAATAAATTCTTAGTCTTACTAATTCCACACCTCAGACGAGCTGAAGGCCTTAGCGCAAGAGCTCCTAATTCAATTAGCTTATAGTTTTTACTTTATGTTAGTTTTGTATGAATAAATAAATAAAATTGATTAGTTTTATCGTTAAGCTCTTATGTGGAATAAAAAAATACATAAAAATAATAATTTAAATTTTATATAATAATTATAATAATTATAATTATTACTTTTGAATTTTCTTCTGAATAATAAACCACTTGTAATTACTTTTTGTATTTACTTTTTCTTTCTATATAAAATATGTGTTGTAAATTAAAATCCCTAATACATTTAAAATTAAACATTTAGCTATTTTCGAGCCGTTGCGTCGATATTGATCTGGCTTTTTTAGCTGCCAACTCTAATGCACCAGCTGATCTCTGACGACATTTGAAAACAAACCTGAGTTTAGGACGCCAAAGTTAGTTGCTAATTTGTTAATCGCCACTGAAGTCTAACCAAAGGCCACCATGTCGGCTGGATCGGTGGAGCCGTTGGCCCATAGCCAAACGCCCCTGGACGCCCTGTGTCGCGTTTGCCACACTTCATCCCCGCGCTGTTTGCCGCTCTTCAAGCCACTGAATCACCTGATTTCCGGGAAACTATCCACCCTGGCCAGCATCCTGAGCTACTGCAGCGGCCTGGAGATCCTGGAGACGGAGCTCTTCCTGCCCCACCACATCTGCCCGGGCTGCGTGGCCAAGCTGCGGCTCGCGCTGGAATTCAAGCGGAGTGTCCACCGAATGGACAGGCTGCTGAGGCAAAGTCATGCGGACTTTTGCCGCTCCAAGAGGATCAATGAGCTGGGAATCGAAGCTAAGATGTCGCCGGGCATCACCGAGGACCTCGTCTTTGTGATCGATGACCAGGAGGTGGCAGAAGAGCCCTTAGAAGCCATTCCAAATGAAGAGGAGCACCTGGTTGTAGAAGAAGTTCGGGTGGAAAAGCGGGAGATGGAGCCAAGTTTGCAGGAACAAATCCCTGAGATGATGAACCAAGAGGAGCAGCTCCTCTTGGAGGCCAAAGCTGCTGAAGATCTCTACGAGATTGTGGAGGAGCCGGAGCAGCCTGTAGTAGAAGCCCTGGACTCCAAAATGAGGTCAGGAAAAACGTTGGTAAGTTGACTTAATAAATAGTGAGAAGAAAATTCTAAAATAGTTTTGTTATACCTACAGATCACCAAAAGAACCACCTTTGAGTACCACATAGCGCTCGAAAACAAGCCACAAAAAAGAGCTCAGAGAACTAAAGAATCACTCCAAGATCTCTACGAGATTGTGGAGGAGCCAGAGCAACCACAGAAGTCCTCGGCCAGGAGAAGTGGTCAATGGAAAGCGCAGAACCCCTCGTTGCAGTGTCAGGTAAGTTGGCCAAATATGTAGTTGTGAAACCAAAGATGACTTACCCATTTTTCCCGTAGATTTGCGGCAAGCAGCTCAGCACCAGCAACTCGTTCAAGTACCACATGCAGCTCCATGGCACGGCCACGCCCTACGTTTGCCGCATCTGCGGCGAGTCCTTCAAGACGCGCAATGCCCACGACGGTCATGTGACGCTGCACGATCTGAACAATCCGAATAGGTGCCCCACCTGCTTCAAGGTCTACCGGCAGGCCTCGTCGCTCCGCACCCATCTGCTGATCCACAGCGGCATCAAGCCCTTCGAGTGCAACATCTGCGGCAAGCGGCTGACCCAGAAGTCCGGCTACAAGAAGCACATGCTCACGCACACGGGCGAGAAGCCGCATGGATGCGACATCTGCGGCCGCAGCTTCCGCTACTCGAGCAACCTGATTGCCCACAAGCGCAGCCACAGCCAGGAGAAGCCGCACCACTGCCAGGTGTGCCAGAAGCGGAGCTTCGGCAGCCGCTCCGAGCTGAATCGCCACATGCTCGTGCACAGCAGCGAGCGACCGTTCGGCTGTGAGGAGTGCGGCAAGTCCTTCAAGCGGCAGGTTTCCCTCAGCATCCATCTGCAGTCGCATAAGGAAGGTCGCAGGCGGAAGAAAATAAATCGGAAGGTGGAGGAAGATACCTGATTGCAGGCATAGATTAGAGCCCAAGAATCTCTTTACTTCTAGTTAATATTCTCATTTATATATACATTAGAGCCCTGCGTTAATCGTTCGATTTTTGTTTTATCATAGTATGCCATGAAGTTTCTGATTTGTTTAATTCAATTGTGAAATAAATTGAATGTTTTTCAAATTCCTTTCAAATTGAATGAATGAATGAATAATTTTTATGAATTTGAAATTTTTTTGTGCTTTCTTTTGAGAATAAAAAGTGAAACATTTTTAACAAATCAATGTTAAAACGTTTAGAAAATAAAATTAATGCAGATTTAATCACAAAATTATGGCCCTTTCTTCTACTAAAGAAATTGTCGTTTAAATTATTTCGGAGTTCATGCCATTCATTCATTCAATTCTATTAAACTCAAAATTCTAATAAATTCCTACATATAAAACAAAAAATGCATTGAATCCATTCATGCTGGGCTCTAATATACATATACCCCACGATATTGTTTTTAGTTTAGTTTGCTTTTATTTTCGGTATTCGCCTTTGTAAAATAACAAGTTTTAAGTGTTACTGTTACAAAATACGCTCTAGGATTAAATGTTGTTCCTCTGTTCTCACCTAAATGATGTACTTTATATATATACTATATATATGGTTAACAAGGGGCGGGAGACTTTTAAAACGTTCGAGTCTTCGTTTCGGGAATTTGATTTTGTTGGGTTTTAATTTATCATGCAGAGAATCTCTATACAAATGGAAGTTTCGATTGGGTTTGGTGTTCTTTGTTAGAGGCTTAACTATACTGAACCGATCTTACGTGCTAAAAAACCAATTAGAGGAGTGCGGAACGAGTGTGCGAGCGAGTAGACAAACATAGAAGGGCTGAGAGTTGTTTAAAAAAATACGGGGAGTTATCGCGTTCGATCGCATGTTACATAGAGTTAATGTATAAATAAATATATATATGTTTAGACAATGTGAGTGCTTGCTAATACTTGGCATACATAAAATGAGAATAGATCACAAAAAGTCGCATAAAAACATAGATGTTAATTCGTATAACATATGGGATGAATAATATCAGTGAGTTAAAAAAAAGAAAACGAGACATGAGACTTCGACGATCTCAGGGTCCGGATCTGTGTAAATAAACGAAGGAGACACGACCGGTGGCCCGCAGTTGCCACTGCTAATCCTTCTCCTGCTGCTGCAGCAGGGCGGCGATCTCCTGGAACTTGTGCCGAAAGTCCACGCTGCTCTCGCTGATCACCGACATGCTCGACGAGGGATCCTTGGATGAAATGTATACATTTTTGTTAATTTTTAATCAATAATCAATACTATAATGACTCACCAGTATATCCCTGGTGGCATCAATCTCATCCAGATGCCCCAGCAGCGAGGTCAGCGAGAAATCATTGATATTCTCCTCCAGCCAGCGAGCATTGGAAGTCGAGTCCCTGAGCAAGTGCATCGGGCTAACGCTGCCATGGAAGAAGTTTTGTGCTGCAGGGGAAAAGATATTATTTAAGGCGGGAATTGATTTACAAAGCATAAAATTAACTACCGAGAAACAAACCAAACATTTGAATTATTTTTAATTTTTTGTTTTATATTTAATTAGAATTAGAATTTGAATTTAATAGAACTGAATAAATGAATGGCATGAATTCCGAAATGACAACAATTTCTTTAGAAGAAGATAGGGCCATAATTTTGTGATTAAATCTGCATGAATTTTATTTTCTAAGCAGCTAACAATGATTTGTTAAAAATGTTCCACTTTTTGTTCTCAAAAGAAAGCACAAAAAAATCTGGCAAATTCAAAAAAATTCATAAAAATTATTCATTGATTCATTCAATTCCAAATGAATTAGAAAAACATTCAATTTATTTCACATAGAATTGAATTAAACAAATCAGAAATTTCATGGCTCTAATTTGCATTCAATAAAGAAAAACAAGAGAGAACGCTATAGTCGGGTTGGTGTCCCGACTATCTAATACCCGTCACTCAGCTAAAGGGAGTGCGAACGCTGTGTCGGGTTTGTGTCCCGACTAATAATCGTAACTCAGCTAAAGGGAGTGCGAGGGAGATAGATATATTTTTTTTGATTGCGTATAACTTTTTAATGAATGGTCCGATTTGAAAAATGTCTTCTACATTTCGATAGGTATAAATATACACAACAAAATTGCATTTATACTTATCGGAAATCTTTAAGGATGTGGGCGCAGGACCCATTTTAAAATCGTTAATGGGCGATTGTGGGCGTTAGAGGGGGCGTGGCGCTCGGCTAAAATAAACTTGCGCTGCGTAGGAAGCCAAAGAATATGTGTGGGAAATCTCAACCTTCTAGCTTTTGTAGTTTCCGAGATCTCAGCGTTCATACAGACAGACAGACGGACAGACGGACAGACGGACAGACGGACAGACGGACAGACGGACATGGCTAGATCGACTCGGCTAGTGACCCTGATCAAGAATATATATACTTTATGGGGTCGGAAACGCTTCCTTCTAGCTGTTACATACTTTTGCACGAATCTAGTATACCCTTTTACTCTACGAGTAACGGGTATAAATACTTTTAATGAGGGATTTGTTTTAGGAAAAGCGAAAAATATGCTATGAAAATTAGACATAGATCTTCCTACTTGTGCTCTCATCCTGGACCGCCTCGGCCAGGGAACTGCTGACGCCGCTGCTGCCGGTGGTGGCCACACAAAAGTCCAGATTGGGCATGTCGCGTGCGCCGCCCTGATCGCCGCCATCGCCGAGGAACTGCTGATCCGCTTGCTGCTGCTGCTGCTGCGCCGGCAACGCCGCACTCAGGCTGGAATCGGAACCCGCAGAGCTGATCCCCGAGGAACTGGTGCCGCCCAGGCGATCGATCGGCTCGAAGAGGCCGCTGTGCAGTTGGCGCACACTCAACAGATCGTACGGACGCACGCCCATGGAGGCGGGGGGCAGGAGACGGCGCTGCACGAGCACCTGGCGACTGATCTTCTGTCGCGTGAGCTGTGGGTTATCAAAGATTAATTAATTTTCAATCAAAAACAACTAAGAAATCAACTCACCGCCGAAAGCTGCCGCACGGGATCGATGATGTTGGCTATCGGCCGCCTCACCGGCAGCATCGGCGTGCGGAAGCTGCCCTCCGCCATGCCCACGCCGCCGGCTGCCGCCGCCTCCGCCAGCTGCTGCGCCTTGCTCATCAGATCCCGCTTGCGGTCGCATGTGTGGCCGCAGTTGCACTGCCGCTTGCGCACGCGCTCGCTGAGATTGGCCACCAGCAGCAGGTGCTTCAGCCTGTTGCTCACCGACGATGTGGTGACGGCCTTGACGCGTTCCACGCTATCACAGTCGTTGGGATTGTACGGCAGCGAGGAGCTAGCCGTGTTTACCGAGGAGGAGGAGGAGGAAGATGCGGTTATTTGGCTGACGGCGGAGGAGGAGGTTCCCGTTTGGGTGGCCACCGACGAGGAGCTGGCCAAAATGGCCGTCGAACTCTCCAGCTCACACCAATAATACTCGAGCTCCAGCTTGGAGTCCTGGCCAAAGACCACATACAGATCGCCAATGGTTATGTCCGCCGCATTCGCCTCCGTCCAGCCCTTGCGGATTCGCTTGAGGATCTCGTCGCTGAGCAGGGGCTTAAAGTTTCGAGCCTGCGCCGCGGCGGCCGCCTCTTTGGCTTCCTTGCGCTTGGAGCGAGCTGCCGGCTGCGAGGCTACGGAAGTGGAAGGAGCAGGAGTAGCTGGTGGCTCAGTGGCCGCTGGAGGAGCCAGAGGATCATTGGAAGTTTCCGGGACAACAAGGGATATCTCAGAGGTGGGCTGAATTGGAGCTCCCTGCTCTACGTCACCGAGAAACTCCTGAATCTCCTCGCCCAGCTCATCGCCGCTGCTATTCTCCAGCTTCACCAGATTCCCCTCCATGCCCACCTCATCCAGGCTCTTCTCCAGCGGCGGACTGGCACCCGATTTGGGCTTCTTCGTCTCCGGCGAACGCTTCTCGGAGCCGCTCTCGGTGCGGGGTCGCTTGCTGGCCGCCACCGTGATGCCGGGCAGGCTGCCCAGCGACTCGCTGCGCACCTTGAAGCCCAAGCGCTCCTCGTAGGCGGTCAAACAGATGTTGATGCTGCTCAGGTAGGCGGTGATGCTGAGCAGGGGTCGGTGGATGGCCACTCCCGGCCGCGGCTGGAAGCACAGCGAGGGATCGAGCGATGAAGCTGCCGGCTCAGGTTCATTGTTGTTGTTTGCGGAAGAAGTCGCCGGAAAGAAGACGCTCTTCTCCTCGTGCAAACGCTGATTGGCACTGCGCCATTTGTACTCGAATGTCTTGATCAAACTAATCAGCTTCTTGTGCAGCGGAACGATGATCCTGCCGCGTGGATTCTGTGCCAAAGACTGCACCCGACCGAAGGCCTCCATATTGGCGGGCGTCACCAGCACCTCCACCTTGCTGGGCAGACGGATGTCCTCAAGGGAATCTATTTAAGGGCAAGGGATATACATTTAGATTTAGATAATTGGAAGAAGAGTAGGGAGAAGAACTCACCATCCAGTTGATTGAGTCGCCGGAGCGCCTTGCACGACGGCGTCTTGATGCGGATGTTCTTGCCCTTGCAGCGCACGGTGATCTGTCCCTGGTAGACCAGCTGCTTCAGCTTCATGAAGTGCTTCTCCGTGAGGAACTGCAGCTTGCGACGCATCTCGCCGTAGTTAATCAGCGTGTACAACTCCTGGGCGGGCTTCTTGAGCTCTGGAAATGTGAGGAAATTATTAGTTTAGGGGTTATATGTTTTTCAGATATAATCTATTAATATTTTAAAAACTTCTAGGCTGGAAACCTAGTAAAGAGTTCCTAAAAGGCAACATCATTTACTAGAATTAAACATTCTTAGTTCAAGTGATGAAAATTATACATTTTCAAGTGAACAAAAAGTATCCCATAATTGTAAAGTTAAATTAATTGATTTTCTAGGAATTTAGCGATTCTGAGAAACTCTAAGATAAAAGCGGGAATTTTTAGCGCGCAAATATAATTTTTTCTAGAAGCAATTGGCCTGCTTTTGTGTATTATTAATATTTTTAAATATTCAAAGAACATTTAATAAATAGCTTAATATTTAGGAAATTAATACAAAATATTAAAATGATTTTTCCTAGAAACAATTGACCAACTTTTGTATGCTAAAAATAAATTTAAATATTCGTAGAACATTTAATAAATAAATGGCCTAGTTTGTTAGCTTAATATTTAGGAAATTAATACAAATATTAAATAAATACAATTGTTCTATTTACCGATACAAAGAATTTAAAAGTTTTAAGCGGGAATTTTTAGCGAGCAAATATGATTTTTTCCTAGAAACATTTGGATATTATTATTTTGAAATATTCGTAGAACTTATAATACAAAATTGCCTAGTTTGTTGACTTAATATTGAAGAAATTAATACAAATTTTCTAGGAATTTACCGATTCAGATAATATAAAAGTTAAAAGCGGGAGTTTTAAGTGCGCAAAAACAATTTTTCCTGGAAACAGTTGGCCAACTTTTGAGTAATATTAATATTTTTAAATATTCCTAGAACATTTAATAAATAAAATGTCTAGTTACCTAGCTTAATATTTTAGAAATTAATATAAATACTATTTTTTTAAATGCATGCTACTTTTGAGACTAGATTGGCTGACCCAATTCGACCTGCGCTGGTCCAGAAACTTCCATAGACCCTCCTCTTACCTTCCGAGTAGCGCACATACTTGCAGATCTTGTGGTAGGTCTGGTAGTAGTGCTGGCGCACCTGATCCTTGGTCTTGAAGCTGTAGTCGCTGCTGGCGTTGCGACGCTTCAGCTTGGCATTGATGCAGTTGGCCACCGCCTCGAAGTCCTTGCCAAACTCATTCAGGGCATCGAAGAAGCAGTTGCGCTCGACATTCGTCCAGGTGGTCTTCCCGCTGCCCGTCTTCAGCTGGCTGGGCGTCTTCTGGGCGGCCTTCTCGTCCTTCTTGCTCAGCTCCCTTTCGCTGGGCGGCGGTGTCATCGGTCGCGTCTGGTCCTGCTTCATCTTCTGGATGACCCGGGCACTGGCCCGCGTCCCTGGACAATTGTGCGTGGTCACCGAGCCCAGCAGCTCCTCCTCGGGCAGCTCAATCTTCGAGAGCAATCCTCCTCCTGCTCCCTTGCCTCCATTCGGAAACGGCTCCTCGATGGAAATGGCCGACGGTGGCGGCTTGCACAGGTCCTCCATGTTGGCCAATCCACATCCGCTTGTCGCCTACAGCCTGCGGGGCATTATTAATTACAATATCAATTAAACTGCGTAGTCTTCTGGGGAAAAGTGGCTAAAAATGGCGCTCGCCGCCGCCGGACTGTCGGATTTTGTTTGTTATTGTCGCCAAATCACTGGTCTAGAATTATCCAAACCTGATCCGAACTAATCTAGGAACCTTTGGCCGGGTCCGCCAGGCACTCACCTAGAAATCGGACATGGAAAATCGTTGCTATATGGCTATATAAAAGGAAATTATTAACGAGACGCCAGGGATGTTGATGTTATTTTTTTTTCCGCTAGGTGGCAGTGTTACCAGATGGCGAATTGACTTTCGCACCAAATGCTCTCGACCAACCCTGATTTTCTACTAAATAAACTTTTCCCACTAAATTCAAACAGCCACTGTCCCAAGAAAATCCTTCAATATTAAGGATTATGTTTGAATTTTATGTTTGTAATGTAATAAGTAAAATTGTACTTACATTGCAGAGCATCAAACTTTGTTTTTAAAAAATCATATTAAATTGATTTTTTTACCCAGTCACCGTAAAGACTAGTTATTTAAACTTTTATTTAAAAAAACTTAACCGATTTTTATTTCTTTTGATTACTAATTTGACTGATTTTTAAAGACTTGATAGACAGTTTTAGTTGTTTTCCATATCCGCTGATTTGTATATAGTTTTTGGACAATAACGAAAAAAGTGTCATGTTTGACGTTAAAAATAAAAGTGTCAATAAATGTTTTTCACGGTCCCTGGTCTAACAATATTTTTTAAGTTTTCATTTCATACTTTGTTAAACAAAGTATACATTAACTATTTGTAAAAATAAAACCGACCAACAGATGGCGCTAGGTCTGGCTATAACACTTACATTTTCTCTAACTAAAAGTGGGATTTAAATCTCGAAACCGTTAAAAACCATTAGTAATATATTAGATATAAAAATCAGGTTTTTACTAATTCATTGAAAAAAAAGAGGTAAACATATTACAAAATGGTAAGATTTTATTAAATAAAACCACTTTTATTTATTTAGCTTACCCTGTTGACAAATCACAAAAGTCATTGAAGAGGATGTGGTTTTAAAGTTTATTTTCTTAAAAATAATTCTTAAAAATAAGCAAAAAAATAGTTGTCGCAGGTGCATCACAAATAAATACCAACGAAGAGTAATACTAACAAAATTGCTGCAAGTATCGCGATGAGCATTATCTTTTTCTGTAAATATAAATCAAATAAAGTCAGTTGAATGGCGATTTCCGGGATTTAAGATCAGTCGCACCTTTCGCGCCCTTTTCTGGTGCTGTTCCGCCTGGTCCAGTTCGTCCGCCCCCTTGTCCACGTGGAGGGTGGCCTGCTGGGCGTGGAACTCCACCCGCTGGATCACTTCGCTCTGCTCCATCACCAAGGTCTGGATGCGCATGAACAGGGCGTGGACCTCCTCGATGGACTTCTCCAGGCGGCGCAGCTCGTTGAATCTGTCCATCATTTCGCGCAGTGTCTGCCGCTCCTTCTCCGTTTCCTGCAGGAACTGCAAATGTAAGACCACAAAATATTACAATATATTTATATTAAATTTTGTACTTTTGTCTGATAGGTAATCTTTCTGCCGAAGTACAAAAATAATATTTATCGGTTTTTTATGGATAATTCTTGTATTTATATTGTTATTTCTAAATAACAACAAAAAAGTTATTGGTTAAACAAGGTTTTAAAAAATAAATAGGAACCGTTTTAAATATTATTACAGCTTTTTTTAAAGACCATTTGTTTGTGTCTTTTATAAATTTAAATAAAATTAAAGTTGAGTGATTCAAGTATACAAAATATATAGAAGTAGCTTATAAATCGCTAAAAATAGATATTAATAGAATATTATATTGAATTCCGCCCTAGTTCAGCACAAAGTGATTTCTGTGGCATCCCCGATAATACATATATGTACAAAAACCGAAGTGACTAATAATGGACATTTTAATTTGCTGCTCATCGGCTTGTAATTGATAGCAATTAAAAGATTGTCTTGTTCATTAAATTTATATTTATCCACCTACAAAATATATTTTACATGGCGTGTAATTACACATAAAAAAGTATATTTAAAAAAATATATATACAAAAATACTGTATAAATCTTGAACCCTACGAGAAAGGGATTGTTAATTTAATCTCTTTCAATATTGAATTTCTATTTTAGTGATAATCTACATTATCGAACAGATGTATCTTTTGTTTTACTTCTCTGTATCATTTTTTCTGTACTCACATTGTCCACAAAGAGTTTTGTTGTCTTGTTCTCGATGAGTAACTCGATTTCTTGTTCGCTGGCTTCTGAATTAACTAAAAAGAAGATAAATGGTTAAGAAAAATCCTTAATCACAAATTCCTTAGTTTATAAAAATAAATATACAAATTGATAAAGCTTTAGATGACATTAATAAATGCTTACTGATTTTCGTATGCAGTCTCAGATTCTTTTTGACTTTGGTCTCGTAATTCTGCAGGAAAAGTTCGTTCTTATGCCAGAGATTGATGAAAGTCTGGTGGAGGCCGTAAAAGAGGGTCCTTTTCATCCTCGCCTCCAAACTGTAGTCGTTTTCCGCAGGAAGATTTGCCTTGAAGTCCTTGAATCTCGTCATCAGCGTATTGCCCAGCCTCAGGTTTTTGTTGTGAAGCTCATCCATCTCGTTCTCTGGGGGTTGGTTTGAATAATGATATAGATAGCACTTCAAGATCTAAGGGTTTCTAGTGGAAATTTCTACCGTTGAACGTTCGCAGATTTATCGTTTGGGACATGCGGTTCATCGCCTCCAAATTGCCGGCTATCTGTGCGAGTTGTTGGCGTATCTCCGTGTACTGAAAGGGATATATAATTATATTTAGTATATATCCTTCAAAATATTTAGGAAGTTCTTTAAAAATAATAATATTTTTTTGGACTTCGTGTTTCCAAGATCATATGAACTAACTTTTGAAAGCAGTTTTTTTTAACATTAAAATTTTTGCTTTAAATATAAAATAAATAAAATTCAAATTTGTTAAACAATTTTACCAATACCAAAATAATTAATTAAACAAAGAGTTATCGAGATGTACACAAGTATAAACCTCTATAATATTTTTGAAAATATTAATTCTCTTGTTTTATTTCAGATTTTTTTTTTAAAGAGTTTTACAACTTCTCTTTTTTTAGCGAGAGATAGCAAGATTTTTTGTTTTACCTCTCATAAGATTTTCTGCCGGTTGTCAAGTGCGAACTATTTGTTTACATTAGCGGAGAGTTCAGAAGGCCCCTTAAAAAGTGGGCGGGACTCTTCTCTCTACATCGCTCTCTCAACTTCCCGTGACCACAACAAAAACATAGGTACTTAATGGAAAAAGGTTTTTTTCTACACTTATCACGAGTTTTTGCGCTACGCCGGCAACGATTGAGTAATACAGCTGATTCATATAATAAACGTTAAAAACGAATCTCCCTCTCTCTCGCTTTAACTCTCATTTAGAGAGTACCTTAAGCTTTTTAACTGGATATTAAGAGATTTGTATATATTTTTGTTATGCTTAGTAATCAAAAGATTATCTTTTTTTGATATATCTGTAAATATCTATAAAATACAAGATTATCATAATAATTTTAAACATTTTTTCGGGTTAAATATTAAACCTTCACAATTCAAAGAATTAAAATATAAAACATGGTATATATATTTATACCCGTTACTCGTAGAGTAAAAGGGTATACTAGATTCGTGCAAAAGTATGTAACAGGTAGAAGGAAGCGTTTCCGACCCTATAAACTATATATATTCTTGATCAGGATCACTAGCCGAGTCGATCTAGCCATGTCCGTCTGTCCGTCTGTCTGTCCGTCTGTCCGTCTGTCCGTCTGTCTGTCTGTATGAACGCTGAGATCTCGGAAACTATAAAAGCTAGAAGATTGACATTTTGCATGCAGATTCTTGGAGTTCCTACGCAGCGCAAGTTTGTTTCAAAAGGGTGCCACGCCCCCTCTAACGCCCACAATCGCTTATATACGATTTTAAAAATTTCAATATTTCGGAAAAGTAAAAATGCAGTTTTATGGTGTTTATCAATACCTATCGAAAAGTATAAGAAATTTTTTAAATCGGACCATTCGTTAAAAAGTTACGGCGGATCAAAGTTTTTATCTCCACCTCCTTCGCACTTCCTTTAGCTGAGTAACGGGTATCTGATAGTCGGGGCACCCGACTATAGCGTTCTCTCTTGTTTTTGTTTATTCCCTAACAAATCCTTGTTGTCGACTCACCGGATTGAGTATATCGTCCACATTCGATCCATACTGCGCCATTTTTGCACTGGATCGATCCTTGGTTTCGCCACTAGTATTGATGTTGTTGTTTTGGCTGACCACACTGTAACTATTATTGTTCCCGCCGGTGTTGTTGATGATGAACTCCGTGGTTCCACTGTACACGTTTAATAGCAGTGAACCGTTGGACGACGAATTCGTCGAGTTCGTGCTCAGTGAGCGCTAAAATACAAAAAAAAACCAAGAAAATATACGAAAAAAATTCAAAATAGGTCCATGCGATCTTAACGAACTGCAGTGAAAAACTGAGAAAAAACTAAATAGAAACTACCAACTTTGGTTGAGTTTATTTACGTTTGTGAGTTCACAATCTGGCGCGGTGTAAATGAACAATAAAAATGACTTCGGCACTGAAATTCACTTAGTGCTAAAAGTTTGTGGGGCCATCGGGGGGTGGTTTCCCGTAAGTGTGATGTGTGGCCACATTATCGCCGTTATCTCTGGCCGATCTGATAAATACCATAGAGAACCCCCTTGCCAAACCCCTCGGGTTCTCAAGTCGAAATAGTGCCAAAAGCGCCCACAGAAGAATTGTGAGAAATTGAGCAAATTGTAAAGAAGACGTCGGAACATTGGTTCCAAAGTGGGGCAAAAAAAGTGTCAATGATTGAAGATTGTTTGGATATATTTCGGTTCTGTCGAAAGCCTTGGAATATCAGACATAAGGGAAATCTTTGTGTTTTATACCCGTTTTTATAAAAATTTCCGCACTTTCCGCTTTTATTAAGCTTATTTATTTTTTTTTCAGCTTTCCATGCTTTTTAACCACTGTGCTTGAGGCTAATTAGCAGTTACCTCATCCACACCTCCCAACTGCCCACATATCTCATATTTTCTTATTGTTGCTTCACTTACCTGTAAAAGCTCAGGCAGTCGATCTTTTCCCATTTTTGTATTTTTTCTATTGACTTTTATTTTAACTGTTTAAAAATATATTTAAAAAAATGTATTTTTTGTTCCTGTTTCAGGGGCTTGAGAATTTCCTTTACAATATTTTTTGCAGCGGTCTGTTTGAGCTTTGTTCTTAATTTTTGCTGTTGTTGTTGCCTTTAACAGCTGTTCGCGAATGGGAAAATTAAGATTGAGAGCGGCGAAGAGAGTGAAACTTGTCGCATTGTCTGTTATCAAAGCTTATCAGCTGGCGGGCTTCCGATAAGAAACGCCTAAATATTTACGGAATGCCCTTCACAAGGCGAAAGAGAGGGGTAGAAAATGGGAAAGAGACAGGAATATGGCGATGGAGAGAGACAGCGGTTATCACTTATCACCTTTTTGCCATTTATTTGCCGCTCTTTCTTCTCTCTTTCTCGCTCTCGCGTTTCAGCACACTTTTCCACAGACACAAAAACACAAAATAATTCGGATTATTTGAAAAACGGCTTTCCTTTATTTTTACAAATTTTTGTACGATTTTTCCGCTACATTTTCTGCCGCTTTTCGATTTATTGAAAATCGATTCCTTTGTCTTGACCGCGCCGCATTCGTTTTCGAACTAAAAAATCGACGCCGGCACAAAAACGCAGAGCCTCCAAGTCGCGTCGAGATTTCTTTCAATTCAAAAAGATTAAAGACAGCAAACACTCAGCTTACAGCGGGGTTCAAAATAATAGCAGTTATCTGACATAAGTTCTGGTTTATGATTTTTCTTTATCGGTTTTCTAGTTAATATAGTGAAATAACAAAATATCAGGTATAATTATAAAAATGTTTAATATATTTGTAAAGTCTTCAAGACTTCATTACATTCCCTTTTATATATATTATATTTTAAATTTGAGAACGGATGTCATGCAAAGTGCATTTTTGTCTAACAAATAAAATCAATAAGCTTTAATAATTTTTATTTTTAGTACAAAATGTAATATACTTAATTAGTACACAGTTCCAAGATTAAGTAACAAAATATAAATATTTAAAGCAGTTTATAATTTTCCTTATGTACAACGAATATGGGACTTTTTTATTTCATTTAAAAAAGAAATATTTTATTACATTTTTAATAGTATTTATTTGCTGTTTTAAAACATGGAAATGCAATTTTCTTGAACTGTACTGTATTTCATACGTTCGTGTGCTTTTGCTGGAGAGCGATAAAGATGGAGACTCGTACTATATTATGTGTAGTTAGTTGCGATCTACATTTTTTTGTTGTCTCCGAATAAAATGAATAAATCGTCTTTTGCCCCCGAAATGAAAACTGGTTAGGCGGCGGAGAAAAATGTGTTAATTGTTTTTTATTATTATTATTACTCTTTTGTATGGTAAATATTTCTACATTGTTCTGACATTGTTGTTGCTGCAGTATTTTTCACGCTCCATGTCGCTGTTCAATTGAAATTGTAACGAATAACGTTAATTTAGGCAGCTGGAAAACTTTCCGATGCAACGCACGCTTTTAGTCATCGGCTGTGCTCGTCGGCTTGAGGGGTGGTTTAATGGTGTTGCACCGAAAAATGCCTACGCGTTGTCAGCCTATCTTAAAATTAGCGTGCTGCGACAAAATTCATTTCCCAGATACACATAGACATGCACTGTAAAACGTAACTACAACCGGAGATAACAAAACTACGAACTTGACCCCTGACGTTCTAAGACATACACATTTTTCATACAACCACTGATCTTGTTGTGGTCGATAGCCCACCCTACCTTGGCCGTTTCTTCCTTTGAAAGACTTCCTTCAACGGCCCCTTCACATCTTACCGGCGCTGCCCCAGCTCGAGTTCAACTACTAAATTTCTTTAGAAATACATTATAATTTATTCACTAAAACTAACATGGAACATTAAACATAGAAACATAAAAAAATAAATTAGCGAGTTTAAAAATGCGGACGTAATAAAAAAAATACCAACTAACATTTAAACATCAAATTAAAATAAATTCTTAATTGGTTGTGCCCTAGATTGCATTCGCAAATCGTAATCCTCTAATTTCGCTTATGCGACTGCAGGCCGAGCTGCCAAACATATAAAACCAATTAAATCGAAACCAAAACAAAAACATATGTGCATCCGCTAGAACGAAAACTTCGTCAGCAGGCCGAGACAAAACCACCAGGCGCGCATGCGCGATTGCTAGCGAGCGCTGATGCCGCTGCTCATGCGCCCGAGTGGCGGCGAGGGGAAAGGGAGGGATGTTAGCGCGCTATGTTCTTATCTCTTCTTTGCTTCGCTTTTAGTTGTCGCGATGCATTGCGCCTGTGCGCTTTGCCTAATATTTGACTCGCAAAATTTCTCGGTTTCGCGCTCGCTTATTTAGAGTTAAATTGTTTAGATTTTATAAGTTTGACTCACTTCATTTCCAGTGCCGCGTCCTACGTTGAAAGCGCTTCCATACGAGGCTACCGCATCTGTGGAGTAAAATATATTTAAAAGCAAATTTCGCCTGCCTCGCTAACAAGCCTCGCGCATATTATGTAATGTTTTTTTTCTTTTACTTTGTTTGTTTTGCTCGCGCTACGTTCGACTTTTGTTCTAGTTTGGTTTTAAAGCTGTTTGTTTATCGATTTGGTTTTGTTTTAAATAAAAGTAATAAAAAAAAGAAAAGTAACTTAATTACTAAAATCTAATGTTATTTTTAAAGGGTTTGGGCGGGAATAAATTCCGCTGGATTGGGAGCTCCGATTCAGGAAGAAAACGAATGGTCGAAAAAAAAATTTGTGTGTTACGCCGAAGAAGCGGCGTCCGGTGGAAAATCCGGAAGCTGCGGCCTTTCCTCTGTGTCTGCCCGATGGATGGCTCGTCTGGCTTCGACGACGCTTTTATACGATTCTCTTTGGGTGGCGCTTAAAAGCGCCGTTGTCCAATAGTGGCGACTCGCGCCTCAGATGCCACGAGTTGAGACGCCCTGTGGTTGTACCGCCTCTCAGTGGATTCTGCCTCGAAGCGTTCGTTGGTCCTGTGCCACAAAGCCTAAATTAGCGGTCTAGCCACCCTCAATTCGCAATCTTTCACTCACCCTTCGCGAGCCACTGCAGTTGCAAGTGGCCAGAAAAACACACAAAAGGTATTTAAGGTGCACGCTAAAGCTATGTTGAAGCTGCAACAAGAGCTCATTAGCATTAGCATTACCATGACAAACTTTTCCTTTACCCACTTTTAATTTCACACACTTGAAAATTCACTTTGCTTATGGCTTGCTGCCGCCAGTGGGCCCCCTTATATACCCCCGCAAGACGCCACCAAGCCGCTATTCCACCACTCCGCCATTCAGCAACGGAGAGGCGCGAAAATCTTTGCAACTCCTTGCTCTCGATCAACCTACACAGCCACAGTTTTCCCGGATCTATTAGGAGCGCAGCATGTTGCTCTACCTCTCCCAAATGTTCCTAAGCCCAAATGTTGCTAAGCACCCGCAAAGAAAATGTTGCTAAGCCTCGCCGGTGCAGGTCTAAGCTAAGTCTATTTCTATTTCCAGATACATTCCTGGTACACGCGCCCTTACAAATTCCCCCTGCCAAAATCAGACTGGGGATCGCAGAATAACCAGGCTGATTCCGCGTGTAGCCAGCTATTGCCGTATGTCCTTGGCGTGATATTTGCCCAAAAACTTTCCCTGCATATCTTCCAGAGCATAGTAAGCTTCGCCCAACTTTTTCCTAACTCTGGCCTTAAGAAATCTTGGGCCCAGCTTGGCGTTGTAACCTTCGGCAAAGTTGCTTTGCTTGAAATTCCTGCGGAAAACTTCCTGTCCTTCGACAAAATTGACTGCTCTGGCTCTTAGATTATATTGCCGCTCATTATTTTCGAATTGCTGTTGCATGATTTCCCCGGCTCGCCTGCGAACTATTTCGAGAGAGTCCTTTTGAATCAGATTCAAAGAACGATCTTCTAGGGAATCCAACTTCCGCAGAAGCGTGTACGTGGTACCGGACGTAATCATTTGCTGCCCAAAGGCCATATAGTACGGACTTGTGCCTACACTAGAATGCACTGCGGATCTTAAAGCGCAGCATATATGCGACAAATACTTGTCCCAATCTTTCTGGTCGTCCTTGACATACGAGCGTATAGCCGCAACCACCGAACGATTTACTCGTTCTGCGGCATTCCCTTGGGGAGCATGAACTGCCGTAAAAGCGTGAGTGACTTTGTACTCATCCAATAGCTTCTTAAATGTCTGCGACCGAAACTGAGAGCCGTTGTCCGAAATTATCACCTCCGGAACGCCGAATACGTGGAACAATTCTGTCTCCAGATATTTCACCACAACGTCTGCAGTAATCTTCTTCACAGGTTGCAAAAACACAAATTTGGACAGATGATCAAGGACTATAAATATCCCAATGTTTCCGTTTCGCGATCTAGGATAAGGTCCAAGGAAATCTATGTATAACTTCTGGAAGAATCGTTCTGATTCTGAAGGTTTGGCTAGTGGGGGTCTTAGCGGATAATTGGGTGCTTTAGAAGCCTTGCAAGTTTCACAAGAGTTCACATATTTCTTAACGTCCGGAACTAGTCCAGGCCAAAAATAGAACTGCCGAATCCGCTCAATTGTTTTGTGAATTCCCCCATGAGCTGCTAAAGGATCATCATGCTCTTTTCTGAGGATCTCAGACACCAACTCTTTTGGGATCCACAGCTTCCAATTGTACTTATCATGGACCGGTTCGCCCACTGCGTGCTCGGTTCTTCTATAGATCCTACCATCCTGGATTTTAACATCCGGAAGCCGATCCTTGCAGTCTTCAACTCGCGCAATTAGGTCCAAGTATTCGGGCGAGTTAAAGTGACTGGATTCCACGTCAACTAGCCTTTCATCTAAGCAATTCAGCTCGTCTATGTCTTCCTCATGCACTCTGGAAAGGACATCCGGGACTACATTCAACTTTCCACGCCTGTGTTCAATCTTGAAAGAGTAGCTCTGCAGCTTTAACGCCCATCTGGCCAACCTCGAGCTTAAATCTGTCTGGGACATCAACCATTTCAGCGAAGCGTGGTCCGTAATTATGGTAAAATCGTGTCCTTCGACATAGGCCCTAAAATTTTTTAAACAAACTATGGCTGCTAAACACTCCTGTTCCGTTACTGAGTAATTTTGTTGGGCTTTATTTAGTTTCTTGGACACGAAAGCGATGGGACATTCATCTCCTTCCTCAGATAGCTGAACCAAGACCCCTCCAACTCCTGTTTTGCTGGCATCACAATGTATAAAAAAGGGTTTTGAGAAGTCAGCACTTTTAAGAATAGGGGCTTCGGTTAACCTTGTCTTCAAATCCTCAAAAGCTTTCAATGCTTGATCAGTAAACGCGAATTTTCGCTTTGGAGTAAGCAGATCCGTCAGTGGAGCTGTCACCGCTGCAAAGTTTCCTATGAACTTCCGATACCATCCGCATAATCCTAAGAAGCTTCTCAAGGACCTGAGAGTCTTGGGCACGGGAAACTCAGTAATGGCTGCTATTTTCTCTGGATCCATTCTTATTCCGCCATCTCCCACTATATGCCCCAAGTATTTCACCCTTTTGGAACAAAACTTGCTTTTTCCGATGTTAATCGTTAGTCCCGCTCGCTTTATGTGAAACGCTACCTCACGTAAAACCTCGAGATGCCTTGCTAAGGTGTCCGATACAATAAGCAAATCGTCCAAATAGACAAATACTTCATTACGCAGGTGAGGAGGTATGACCTTGTCCATTAGTCTGGACATGGTTTGCGTGGCGTTACAAAGCCCAAAAGGCATGACTTTGAAATGATAAAGCGGTCGTCCTGGCACAGTAAAAGCTGTCTTGTCCCTCGAATCTACTTCCAAAGGAACCTGCCAATAAGCATCTTTTAAATCGAGACTGGTTATAAATTCGGCCTTAGGCAACCGGCTAAGTATCCCGCTGATTTGTGGAAGTGGATAGGCATCCTTTTCAGTAAGTGCGTTTACCTTTCTGCTATCTAGACATAGGCGAAATTTTCCTGGTTTCTGCACTATGACCAAAGGTGAAGACCACGAACTATCCGATTCTTCTATTACTCCTAGCTCAATCATTCGGTCTATTTCCGCATAAATTAACTTTTCCATTGCGGGAGACACAGGATAATGCCTTTGTTTTACAGGTTTTGCCGAACCTATATCTATTGAATGGGTTATCAAGTTGGTCTTTCCAAGCCCTTCGTGAGCAAACGACGGAAACAAATTGACTACGTTTGATAACTGCCTTTTCTCAACCTCCGATAAGTCATGCTCTATAGCTTTCAAATCTATTTCAGACACATTTGGTAAATTCGGCAACAAATCAAACTTGCGCCAAAAATCAATCCCTAAATACAAATCTTGTTTTAGCGTGGGGACAATATATATATCTATTTCTTCAGACCTTCGGTCGTAGACCACTGGAAGACAGACTTTTCCCACAATTTCTTGCCTATTGCCGTCAGCCGTGCTCACTTTGGAATATATCTTCTTAAATGGTATGCCCTCTTCTAAAAACTGTTGAGCTAAACTGCCTCCTAAACAGCTAACAGCCGCTCCTGAATCCAAAAGCCCTTTCACGAGACGCTGAAGCAATTGCACTGCCACAAATGGCCGCGGATCCTGGGAACAATCTTCTATGGAGTTTATTTCCCGAATATGCCCTTTTAACTGCCTCATCTCATGCCAAAAGTCTTGCATTCGTTGAGTGCTACGGCCCTTTGTTTCTGCTGCCCCATCGGAAACCACTTCTGACCACTTTTCAATATTTTCGGAATAATTTGCATCTTCTTCGATTTCATCTCCATCGGACTGAGATGAGTCAAATTCCTCATCAGATATTTCTGGGCTGGAATCATATTGATCCTCTTCAGGACCTGAAAGGTTTTCGTTTTCGGTTGGATCTAAGCTGAAGATTGGGGTTGTTCCGGGGATGGTGGCTGCTGCTGAGCACGCAAAGGCTTCTGTTTGAGTGGCGGCATCTGCGTGCTCCCTGAGCGGTTTTTTGACAAGCACCTAGCACATTTAGTTTTAATTGTGTTTACCAAGCCGCACCCAAAGCAAAACCGACCCTTTTGTGGAATTGAGCAATTCTTATAAAGATGCCCTTCTGTATGGCAATTCCAGCAGACTACGCTCAGCGCCTCTATATCTGCATCAAGTTCTACCTCACTGACATTTTCCCAGCCAAAATCCTCATCTAATTCTGCCACATCTCTCTTAAACGGAACCCTCTTGGTGTACCCATGAGATTTCTTGACATCATCTAAGAATGTTTCCCTTCTGCGACATACCTCACGCAGGTGTGATACGCATGATATGTCTACATTTAGTATTTCGTGTCGAATTTCTGGCCTCAAATTATTCTTTAAAATTCTCACCAACTTGCTGTTTGGCAAGGGCCTATCCATTTCATCGAGGAAAACATTGATGGCGTTGAAGAAACTATCAAAGGATTCGTTGCTTTCCTGCTTCCTTTGCCTTATTAATTCTTCAATGTCTCCGTCATCCCGGTCATCCTTATACTGCTTGCGCAAAGCTGAACATAAAGATTCCCACTTAATTTGCTTGACTGTTTTGTGGTGTCTCCAAAAGAAATCCTTTGCTTTCCCTTCAAAAAGCGAAGAGACATTCTTGCACATCAGCTCAAAGTTTCCGTCCAAGGTTTCATTTGTCATGGCCTCGACCTGATAAATAAAATTGTCTACCGACAAACCCGTACCCGAAAATTTTAGTTTCCAACCGTTCATAATCGGACCAACCTTGTCCGGCCGTCTTGACAGCTCAGATGTTAAACTTCCAGAATTTCTTCCAAAAGATGAATTATTGGAGTGATTTTCCTGCCATGTATCAGCATCGGTTTGCCCTACTCTATTGTCGGGATTGGAATTGTGGCTGGCTGGTTCCGAGTTAAGGCGTCGTAAGCAACTTTCTACATTGGTTTCAATTAGCTGATTGAGTTTTTCGGTCAGTGCTGATAGAATGTTATTCTGCATTACTTGCAGCTGACCTTGAAGTGTGGGCTGGTTTGCTTGGGAGGCGTTTGAGCCTCCTGCTGTTTCCCTATCTGTTGGCGGCGGCCCATTCCCGTCCAGTTGACCTGTAGTCTTTGGGAGCACTTTAGTGACGCAAACGTAGTTGCAAATTGGG